AGTTTATGGTCATGCCTTGCCTGGTGGCAAGTCCATGTTGGCTTTTTTTCATGATGTTGGCAATGATAAGTGCCATAAAATAAAGTATTGCATATGCCAAGGCTAAAGACGCTTTTGCAGCAGAAGAAGCAGAGAAACTGATTCAACAGTTGGATGTATAGAATATGCGGAAAGGAACTGCATATTATATTATACATACATGCTACGGTTTTTCGCTCTACTCTGGATTTCAGAACCATTCGAAAGTAAAGCGCGAATTAGTTTTGAGACCAACAAATATATCATCCAGGGTCTATTTAGGAGCTACGGGCAGGACCTTGCGACTAGCACTAAAGACTCTGAGTATCTTATCTATAATTAAAATGAGCCAACCGTTGGATATTGCAGAGAACTTTACCACAAGCAAGTTTTTTGAACTTTTCCAAAGGAAATTGACAACAAGGGAACTATAATGGAAATGTCTGACTATGCTTGACTTAACATACAGAACTTTTGCCCTACTTTCGTGAGTAACAACTCTTTGAACTCTGTTCAGGTTTTGCGGGAGAAAATTTGAAATTTTCCCTCGAAACTATATAAAAATCTGCTACTAATTGAGCTGACCTCGAGCTGAATGTTTCATAAATTCGCTGCTAAATACCGTTATTTCTTCTTGTACCCATTTCCTTCCGCTTTCAATATGCTGCTCGATAGTTTATGGGTGCGATTTGATTTGTTTTTTGGATCAACGAATGTTGCTCATTTGACATTTTTCACAGATTTTAAATGGGAATACGAAATAAATGGGTATATGTATGTGTATATATGTGTATACATATATGCATGTGTGTGCCTATGTGTGCGTACATTTATAACTGTGCGAAAGTTTATCCTTATGCCATGGCTATTCCCGGCCGCAGGCTAAGAAATAATGTGTTTTGGATGAGTATGTATGTGTGAGTGTGTGTGTGTGTGTGTGTGTGTATGAGCTTTGGCTAACAATTTTAATTTCTTGACTGCTTTTATCGCATTTTGGTATTCGTTGTATTTAATGGAATGTGGCAGAAGCAGACGAAGCAGGAAAACCAAACAGGAATCATGCAAAGAATGCGACTTTTATATATGTGTGTGTGTGTGTGTGTGTGTGTGTGTGTGGGGATATATTTCTCAAGTGAAATCCCACAAAACAATAACAACACTAAGACGCTTCCGTGTCCTTGTTTCTGTGCGTGTGTGTGTGCGTGTGTGTGAGTGCGAGTGTCAAAAGAAAATGGCACGAAGTAAGACAAAACAAAGCCCAAGAAAGCAAAAAAACTAAAAAAAAAGAGGCACGCACCGAAACTTCAATACCCTGAAGTGCAGAAAACTACAGAAATCAGAATTGACAACTGAAGTTAAGCTTTTTATTTGTTTATTGGAATGTAAATTTTTTATAAAACCCCATTGATAAAAATGTAAGCATAATTATTTTATTTATTCCAGAGACCGCTAATTAGAATATGATTTAACTTTTTTGTAGTACCCCGTGACAAATACAAATTCAGTTGTTGAAATGGCTATGATTAACGTATAATTTGATTAATATAATTTATAATGATTACGGTCCCCATGGGAATACAAAAAATAGGGGCATTAAATTATGCGTGCGATCAGCTATTATTATAATTATAAATCCTCAACGGGTCTTTTCATAGAAATGCCTGTTTTTCATTATATATTTATAAATAAATAAATTGCATAAATGTTAAACTTACAATTATTTACTTTTTTAAGCTTTTTTTAAAAATTGACACGAATATAGACTTAAAATAGTTTTGAGAGCACACTTCAAATAACAATAAGTTTAAAACATCCGGTCAAATCAAAGAGTGAAAAATAACTGTGTTGAAACCGCCTTCAACGCGCTTTTGTTTGGATCCCGAGTGGGGCTGGGTCAGAGCTCGATCTCGAGTATCGATAATGAGTACTTTTGGGCATCGATTGTTGGCGGTGCTCATTTAATATTTAAATTGAAAAGACTTTATGCTTAAGCTTTAAAGAGCTTTAAAAATCCTGGTTTATAGTGGAATAAATAGGCTAGTCAAATAGACTGGGATAGGAAATATAAATTCCTGTCTTATTCTCATTATGCGTACGCAAACAAAAACAAAAGAAATGCAAAGCTCTTAAAGACAAAGCTGAAGAAGACTTATGCCTTGATTGTTTGCGGCTTATGTACATAGTATTACCCTTTAACAGAGAGATAAAAGCGGGTATGCACACACACATCCATCATATCGTCGTTGAAATGTTTCCGGTGTATTTAAACGGGTATTTTATTTCGGGCTCGTTTTGGTATGCGAAAATTGCGTTTCTGCGATCGCGTAGTCGTCTGGGAATTCATTGAATATTTTCATTTGATACCCTTTAGCAATTAAGCGAAGTATATTTTAGTATGTGCAAAAATGGGCATTTAAATTAACAACTTCATCAATGTGACTATATTAGAATTTCAGTTACAGGGTAGCTGTTAGCTGACTACTCGAAACCAGATTACTTTTACTGGATTCTTTCTTGCAGCTGTCGGACAGGCGAAGATACATAAATACATAGAAAAGTATGTGTGTATTTGTACATTTGTATGTTTATGTATATGTATGTATGTGTATGCTTGCGTACTTGTAGAAAGATAGCAACAGAGACGCCAGCGACGACGTGTTGAGTGGCGCAATTCTTAATTTTCTTTGCCTGCAGATGCTGCGCGCTCCAAATTTTAAGTGTTGCACAATTTCTAATTGTTTGGCCAAACAGTTTGCAAAAAAAGAAGAAAAAAAACAGATGCAAAGGTAAGAAATAACACAACACTGGACGACAAGAATCGCATAGCGCAAGAGAAGCAGAGGCCAAGTAAGGGGATTAGTGAGCGAGTAAGGGATACCCGGCAATTGGTGGTGAGTTTTCAAAACTGAACACCACCGTTCATTCAGAAAGTTCATTTGTAAGTGAACGCACCTTTTTGCAATGCTGGCACATCCCCATGCTTTGCGCGTAGAATGCAAGACCCAAAAAAATTAAACAGTAACAAACATATATGAGTGATTCAGACAAGAGTGCGCACTAGATGATACCCTACAAGCCGCTTAAAGGTTTGAATGCAAGCATTTGTCAAAAATGCACATATGTTATATAATTTTTTTTACTATACACTTTTGATTTTTAAAGGGATTAAAGGGAACAACTCGGCTGTCTTTCTGCACATTCTTAATGGATTCGATGCAGTCTTCTTCTGCCTTTTACAACCTACCCTTTACGTCCATAGTCAATTGTTATAGGGTATGAAAAGTGATAACAACAACATCAATGCCTGCACAAACAAAATCCGCTACACTCGCCGCACGGTCGCCGCAGGGGCGAGAGAAGTGACGACGTTGTCGTTGTCGGCGCTTGGCAGCTTTGACATTTGCATGAAAATACATGTGTACTATGAGTGTATGTGTGCACTATGCGTAACAGTGTGGCAGAGAGTTAGCCAATAGATGTAAGGCAAAGGCAAAGGCAAAGGCAAAAGCATGACAGCGGCGAGGAAAAGGACGAAACCGAGCATCAGCATCCCCGCCGGTAAAAAATCCTCCGAAGTTTTAGCGAAAAGCATCGTCAATGCCACACAGTTGGGGTTGTCAGACTGTCGGCGCGCGTGTGTATCCATGTATGTGTGAGTCTCTGTGTGTGCGTTTGCATTTGTATAGAAACATCGTCATCATTGTCGTCCCCAAAAATAACTAACCCCCAATCGAGTAGACAGACCTCACATTGAACAGGCCACTGTTAACCGTACTCCGTTTCCATACGACTGAAGCGACCCTCGTTTACTGAAAGCTCGCAGCATAGCCGCCCAGTCAATTGGCAGCTGCCGCGTCAGCCATTTATCTATTTTTAGCACATTTTGGCGTATGTTATACGGTTAATTTTTTAATATTTCTCTTCTATCTTCGTTTTAATTACCACCTATTCTTGTTAATTTCTTTCTGTCCCTTGCTCAGATCAACGTTAATTCCTTTAACAATTTGCACTATCAGCCCTTACTTATTGGGACATGTGCAGGTGCATATGTATAATGCAGTTCATCTTGGCTTTAACTGGAGCGATCGGTTGAAAGTTTTTGAAATATGCCTTACTTTTTATATATGTACATTCGAATTTGCACATGTATATCTGCAAGAGTATTTCATCCCAGGAAATGCATTTTTTTTTTAGTTTTATTTTTCCATAAAGGTAAATTCCTTCAAATGTGTGTGTGTATTTGGTATGCAAATACACATATACATTTTTACAAGACATGCATTTGCATATATGGCGACATATGTAACAGTAAAAATTCAATACTGATCCAATCGTGAGTTTAATGCATTTTGATGCATCCCCTACGTGGACGTGATTTGAATATGTAAATGATTTGCCATGCATGTGGCTGGCCTAATGCGCGCTGCTGCTGCGCTGTTGCTGGTGTTTAACTTTGGACCATATTTCGAATTGCATTTCGAATGTTTAAAATACAGCGTCTGCAATTTTGGCAAAACTTCAAACTAAACAGTAAATGCTGCCATATATATACATACATATACATCTATACATGCATATACGTCTGTATGTATGTTTATGTAAGGGGAAGAAAGGCATCAAATGAATGTGAACATACATACATACATAAATGTACAGTAAAAGCTCTCTTGGACGGCTGCCACGGTATCCTGCTAAGGAAGATGTTCTCTTAAAATATATCTCGCATGAATTATTAAAATAATTTTGCGTATTCCATATTGAAATGTAATATCTTTTCCATTTCAACTAGTTCTGCATTTAATCTGCAGAAATAGCTACAAAAAATGTCGTTCAAAAATAAACTGTAAGGAATTAAAATTTGCTCGGCTCTAGGAGAATTCGCCCAAGGAGCCGTCCGTTAACAGAGCTTTCACTGTGCATACCTAATGTATATCATGCACTAACATACATATAAAAGAATTCAATATAACAGTTATTCATACCGCAATTTTTTGCCAGCGCCTCGCTGGCTGCCGCCGCCGCTAGCGCAACGAAACAGCGTGTCGTTGTTGTAGTTATTCTTCTTCTATTTGGAGATTGACAAGAAGAAATTGACGTTGCCGTTGGTTGATTTTCGTGTCTTGTTTTCTTTTTGTTTTCACTAACTATTAGTTTATCTGTTCAGCTACTTTTACTGTGCTATTTGTAGCACTTGACTGCACAAGAACCAAAAAAAAGAAAAACAGAAAAGTAAATGTAAGCCAGCGCCAGCGAGTTGTTACATACACACATACACACACATACAAAAAGACAAGATAGCAAAGAGCGAAGAGCTGGTAAGATTTCACTTTTGCGCCGCCGCCGCCGCTGCTGCTGCTGTTGCTGCGGCTTGGACCTGAACGCATAAAATGAACTTTCACGCCGACCGCAAAGCTGGCAGCAAATTGACGGCCTTGTCCTGCTACTTGCCGGTGCTAGCGTCGGCGTCGGCGTCGGCGTCGTTGTCAGCGTCGGCGTCAGCATCGTTGACCGGCAAAGCAGCATCTGTCCAGTTGCATTCTCTTACGTTCTGTGCGCGTTGCTCTGCTGCTGCGGATGCTGTTGTTGTTGATGTTTTTTGGTCGATCGATAAATTTCAACCGCGCTCTACTAACATCGAAATAAAAACAACAACAGCAGCAACTGGCACTTGCACTTTTGTTTTCGCTGCTTCTCTTCTTCGCTAACTACACGCTTTCTCTCTTACTCTTGCACGCATAATACATACATATAACGGTAAAGCGCTACATATGCATTAATTACCATTCATTTAGCTACTTCTGCACTTTTGGACGGAGACAGAGGATGGCGGGGGGCGGGGCAGCTTGCACCATGTAACCATTTCAATTAGTCTGCATTAATTGCATGTTGACCAGATGCTTGTTACGCTATTTTCAATTTAATTTGATTATTTTTGTATCTATGTATATACATATAAAAACAACGGACAGAAGTAGATGCCGCCACCACCAAATGCCACCACCACCACCAGCTACAGCAGCAGCAGCAGCAACACCACCACCACAGCTAGCAACAATACACCGTTAGTTCATCAAGCATCAGCAGAATTTTTCTGTAAACAATTTTAATTGGCCTTTGTTGTTGCTGCTGAAATTGTTTTTTTTTTTTTGTTTTTATTGTAATTCCATTGCTTTTGGTTTCGTTTGCCGCAGCGGCCCAATTTGCACTTGTTTTTATTCTTGCGCTTCTTGTTCTTGTTGATTTTATGGATTTGCACACACGTTTGTTTATAAGCGACTCTTGTTGTTGTCGTTCTTGTTCTTGCTGCTGTCCAAATGCGGTGCTTTCTTAAAGCTCTTCATGTTCTTGTTATTTCTGTCAGCTAGCTGATTTCTTATGTAAATAAATATGCTGCCGTTTGTTGCTCTCTCACAATTCAACCATTTGTTAACTATATTTTTTATAGCACTCAAAAAAAAATTAAATCAAATCTCGCACGCGTTCGCAGTGGCCGTTGTCAGTGGTAGAACTGTAAGCATAAATACCGCCGCACCTCAGCGTCCGCGCGCGACGCCAGCTTTTTGCAACTGAAACTGAGTTCGAATTTGCGAAGAAGCGTTTTCCAATTAGATACACTTTAAAAGCGAAAATTCGAAAGCTCTCGTATAAGCAAAGCTTTTTATTCTAAAGAACGACATTTTTGGCGTTGCCACACTGATAATGTGATAGCATTTTCAAAATTAGTTCTTTTGTTGAGATTAAAGTAAAACAACAAAATTAAGAATCACAAATTTATTATATTGTCAACAGAATACGCAACTGAACTATTTTTAATTTAAACGTATGAATAATATTGATATCAAATAATATAAAACTGTATAGTTATGGCAACACACTTTAAAAGCATGTTGGTTTGCTTATTTTTAAAATTTTGCTTCTAGATAATTTATTAATTGCTATAGCCAATACAAAGAATGTACATACTCTTGAAATATTACGTTGCAATTTCGTTTTAGAATACAGCGATTTTTAAACATTTAAAAGCTTGATCAAGAAACATCGATTCAGCATTGGCGGATATCGCAACCGCGATGATCGTTATATCGATATTTCGGTGACACTTTGTACATTACCCATCGCTAGCAAAGAGTAAGACTTGAATCGGCTTTTTCAGAATGTGGAAACTTCTATTAATTGCGATTTTCGCAATAAATAATTGCAATGCTGTGCTAGAAAGCGATGCCAATACTCTGGTATTGTTGGACAATTTAGCTATTCGTGAAACGCATTCAATTTTCTTCAAAACATTGCAAGGTAACCGGCACACGCACGCACACACACATACATAGATGCATAACCTATGACGTGTACAACATTTACTAAATATTTTGTCCACCTCTGTTCTTGTAGATCGCGGATTTAAGCTGACCTATAAGCTAGCGGACGACTCGGGTCTGTTGCTATCTCGCTATGGCGAATACCTATACAAGAATCTAATTATCTTCGCGCCCAGCGTTGAGGAATTCGGCGGTGACATCAGCGTGGAGCGTCTGGCACAATTCGTGGACGACGGCGGCAATGTTCTGGTTGCGGGCAGCGAGAAATCCGGTGATGCTCTGCGTGAATTCGCCTCCGAGTGCGGCTTCGAGCTGGACGAGGAAAATGCCGCCGTCATCGATCACTTGCACTACGATGTGAGCGATGCGGGCGACCATACAACTATTCTCACTTCGGCCCGGAATCTGGTTGATGCCGCGACCGTGGTGGGCAGCGAGAATCGTCAGGCGAATGCGCCGCCGCTGCTATATCGCGGCACAGGACTCATTGCGGACAAGGAGAATCCTTTGGTCTTGAAGCTGCTGACGGCGGAAAGCAGTGCCTACAGCTATAATCCCGACTCCAGCGTTTCGGACTATCCGCATGCTGTGGGCCGGGGCACGCTGCTAATTGCCGCTTTGCAGGCACGCAACAATGCACGCGTCGTCTTCTCCGGCTCGCTGCACTTCTTCGCCGACGATACCTTCACCACGGCCGTGCAGTATGCGCAGGGCGGCGTCTTCCACAAGCAGGCTGGCAACCGGGCGGTGGCCGAAGCCATCAGCAAGTGGGTGTTCGGCGAGAGCGGCAGACTGCGTGTGGCTTCGGTGCGTCACCACAAGGAGGGCGAAAGCCAGCCGCCAGAGCAGGCATATACCATTACAGATCCCGTCGTCTATACGATTGCCATCGAGGAGCTGGTGCTGGGCAATTGGCAGCCGTTCAAAGCCAACGATATTCAGCTCGAGTTTGTGCGCATTGATCCGTTTGTGCGCGCCTTCCTCAAGCAGACGAGCAGCGGCAGCTACGAGGCCAGATTCAAGATACCCGACGTCTATGGTGTCTATCAGTTTAAGGTCGACTACAATCGCATCGGCTATACGCATCTGTACAACACGACCCAAGTGTCGGTGCGTCCACTGGAGCACACACAATACGAACGATTCATACCCAGCGCATTCCCCTACTACACCAGCGCCTTCTCCATGATGATTGGCGTCTTTGTCTTCTCGTTTGTCTTTTTGCACTTCAAGGAGGAATCGGCCACCGGCAAATCCGCCAAGGACGACAAGAAGACTCAATAGAATAGTATTATATGAACAAATTGTGCAACATCTTTAATCAGTTCGTATATTGCATTTAAACGTTAACTAATCTGCACACATTTCAATTAAAGTCATACGTATTTGTAACTGGCATTGTTTTATATTTGCAAAGTCCATTATTATTTTATACGCTGCAAAAAGCCCGAAACTGTATGTATGTATTTGTATTGTGTGTATGTGCGTATGTGTGTGTATATACGCATTTACAATTTTATATTTGTGTATATATGTACATGTGTGTGTGTGTATGTATGTACACGTGTATGTACGCATGCATATGTATTTTGTCTAATGCGGGGCGCAACCGAAATTTAAATTCCACTGCAGGGAACATTTAAAAATAACGTACTTTTAAATGGTGCTCTCCTCCTCGATTCTCAAAAAGTCAAGTAAGCCCCAAAGGTTTTCATGCTGCGCCGGTGCATTTTTTTTTTTTTTTTGGAAGTAATGCTGAAGCTATGAAATTAATTTGTGTGTGTGTGTGCATAAGTATAAGTATGTGACGTTTGAATGCGCGTGTGTATGTGCATAAGTATGTACGTTTGAATGCGTGTATGCATTACATGTTTACTTATGTGTATTCACTTACTGCGCAGAGCGGTCTGCGTTTCAAATAACAGAACACAGAAGTAAATATCATGTATCAGCCGGTTCTCGGGCGCCAAGTTGTTTGATTTGAAATGACATTAAAGATCTGTAGGGCTGCCACCAGATGTCCAAAAGTCTGGCCACATCGTAAACAGCTGTTTTTCGATATGTTTCATATATCGATAGCGATTGTTTGCAATACGAGCAACGCCACTGCATAAATGCGCAAGATTGCAATGCAATTACATACATGTAAATATGAGTGAACGCACTCAATTGCCTAACCGTAGCCTCAACAACAGCAACAACAATAACGGACATGTCCAGCGGGATACCAACGTCGTCGGCTGCGCCGCCAGTTTGGAGCTGTGACACGCACAGGCGCAGCCATCATCAACAGCGCGAGCTGAAACAACAACATCTCCAGCATTCCACACTCCAGACGGAGCTGCGACGCGCCACCAATCATTGGTTCCAAGCCAAAAGCGACGAGTGCCTGCAACTGCTGGTGCAAATATGCGTCCAAATCCTGCAGCATGGCCTGCTCCAGCCAACGGACGTCGGAACGCTGGTAAGTTCGACTCGATTTCTGATAAGCAAAGCTCACAACGCCCTAAACTCAAGAAGAAAAACAATCAAAGCGACGAGAAATAATCTTTTGAGCTGACCAAGCAGACTTATATATATATATATATATATAATTTTGATCTAAGTTACAGAAACTGTTTCATCATTCCGATAGCAGCTTGATAATAGACTAATCTGATTTTTAAGAGCATGCTGTGGAGCATAAAACTCTCGTAGTTAATAACTTTTGGGCAAGATAAAAAGCAGGAAATGAATCACAATCTCCTGGAGGAACTATATGTTATAGCAATCCGATGCTTATTAGATTGTTAAGCTGGAACTATATCAATAGGAACAGGTCATCTTGACTTAACTTCTGTTTCTCCTATTAATTCCTAATGTATACTCAAACGATTTCCTCATGTAAGCCCAATGATTAAAGGGAATATAAAGGGCTCCGATGAGCCTCTCGAATGGAGCTTAGAAGCAAATAAATATAATTCTAGCCTGTCAACTCAGTTGTCAGCCAATACACTCATAAACATATCATAGACACTCTTGGGTAACATTTGCAAACAATAGCATGCATTTATTTACATATTGATTCACCTAAGTTTACCATTAAAGTTGAAGTAGAAGGGAAAACGCTTGCCGCTAGCTCCAACAATAGATCTCATTTCCCTTTTTAATGACACTTTCTTCTTGCATTCGCAGCGTCTTATTGAGGACTTTGAGTTTCTGCGTCTCACGGATCGCCAGTCGCCGCCGCCGCCTTCATCTGGAACTGGCAACGTGACCGTCAGCGTGGGAGAGTTCTTGGCGCAATGGGTGGCCAGCTGTCTGCGTGCGCGTTGCCTGTCGCGTTGCGTGCAGTCGCTGGTGGCGGACAAGGAGCTGCTCGACTGTTACTATCAGCGCGATGTGGCCTATTTGCGGCACAGCGGCTATGCGGCAGCGCTGTTTGTCTGCCTGACGGCCATAGAGCTGGACCAGAGCAGCCTGCTCAGCCAGCTGGAGCCGTTAAATAAGCGGCGCCATCGACGCACCAGCTCACAGCCCAATTTCAGCATAACCCAGCGTTTGCATGTGGTGCAGGAGGAGGAGCAACAGCAGCAGCATCATCTTAAGTTACCGCAACGTCCACGGCCGTTTCAGCTGCTGCGACGCATCAAAAGTTTGCCCTGCCTCTATCAGAACGATTGCAGCGTGAATAGGTGGCCGCCGAGTGCCAAGGCTGGGCCGGCTGCACGGCGGCCGCGTTGTCAGACCTACAACAGTCCGTGCGCCCATTGGCGCAGTCAACGCAAGGATTCGGCACCGTTGAGCGGCTCCAGCATCAGCACTGCCAGCAGCTGCAGCCAGGTGGCATCGCCCGCGTCGCGCCGCATACAGCTGATCAACTGTGACGACATCAAGATCTGGACGGATCAAACGGACAGCAACAGCGAATCGCCACCAGCTCATATACCGGCAACGACAAAGCCAACGACGCAGTGCTCGAAGCGCGGCAGTCCGCTTAACAGTTTTCTCAGCAACCTGTTTGGCTCGCCGCCCGTGTACACGAGCTGGTATAGCAAGAGTCTGGGCCAGGATGAGGAGGACAGCAGTGTGCTGATGAACAACTTTCTGCCCGTGAATGGACGCAAGCTGGACAAGCGGCAGCGGCAATCGCTATTCGAAGGCGTCAGCATGCTCGACTACAACAATTGTCAGGGCTCAACGGCGACAACGACGACCACAGCGCCGCTGGACATAGTGGGCGGCAGTCCAGCTGGCCAGGCACATGGCAGCGCCAGCTGCAGCACCACATCCTGCAGCCTGAGCAGCGATAGCCAGCAGAGCAGCAGCGGCAACAAGCTGGACAATCAGAGCCTGGCCGCATTTCTGCAAATGTCGCGCAACACGCACAACAATACCGAACTGGAGAAGGAGAATGCCCATTTTCGCATCTCGGAGGCATGCATTGCGGCCATCGAGCATGTGAAGTGGAGCAGACGCGGCCAGCCAGCGGAGAGTGCGGCCAGCAGTGCGGTCGCCGATGCAGATGCCTTGCTGATACCCTACGCGGAGCAGCAGAATAGCAATTGTAATTGTAATAACAGCGCCGAGGCGGTGGGCTTGCAGCTAATCTCGCGCTTCAATGATCAGCAGCTGCCCAAATTGGGTGATCTGAAATGGCTCGTTTCGGAGCAGGATGCGCCCCAACAGCTGCTGCCATTGCCCAAGCTGCAGGAACAGCAGCAGCAACAGCTGGCCAGCGAGACAAGCCTGACGCGTGGCACCAAAACATGGGCGCCACCGCGTCAACAGATCATCTTTACGGAGCACGCGCCTGCCAGCCGTTCCCAGCTGTTGGCCCGCCAGAATTATCGCTGCGCCGGCTGTGGCATGCATGTGGCTCGACAGTATCAACAATACTTTCGATATTGTAATTATTTGGGCAAATATCTGTGCACCGGCTGCCATCGGAACCAGCTGTCGGCCATACCTGCCAAGATACTGCAGGCCTGGGACTTTCGCTGCTATGCGGTCAGCTCCTTTGCGTATCGCCTGATCGAGCAGATGTACACGTTCCCGCTATTCCATGTGCCAGACCTGAATGCCCAGCTGTATGTCAAGCAAAAGCTTTTGGCCAGGGCACGACGTCGTCGGCTCCAGCTGAAATATGTGCGCGATTTTATTGCCGCTTGCCGTTTTGCCACCAGGTAAGCAGCAGCCTTCTGTTCCTCAGTGCATCTCTTTCTAATTGATGCACTTCTGTTGTACAGGGAGCAGGCGTTCTTTAATGCGGTGCCGGCGCACATTACCAATGATCCGGACATGTGGTCCATGTGTGATTTTGTCGATGTGCAAAACAACAGCATGTGCCGCTCCATAGAGGAGCTGATTGCCCTCAACGAACAGCATGTGCACGGCTGCGTGGTGAGAGTCCAGTTTACCAGGTCACAAACCCGATTAGCTCCATCAACTTTTGACTCTTTCAGCTCTGCACTGGTCGCGCCTTTGTCTGTGAATATTGCAAGAGTCGGCAGCTCATCTATCCCTGGCAGCGCAAGGTGCAACGTTGTGTCCAGTGCGGCGCCTGTGCCCACTACACATGCTGGAAGTCCAACACGGCGGGCAGCTGCTCGCGCTGTGAACGTCTGCAGGGACGAAAGCGGGAGGCCAGTTAGCGCGCATTATCTAGCCAAATTTCGAGCAATTTCAATATATTGTATATAATCCTGTAAATGATCAAAACTGTTTGCAAATGTACCTCAAGCGAATGACGGCCGATTCAAGTTGATTTTATAAATTATACAAATATTTATTTTATTATATCAATCAATCATCTTGCATTTATTTTATGGCTGTTACAAAGTACATAAGCCAAATGCCGCCTGCCTTTTATTCAATTGAATATAAAACAACATTTTATTTAAATCGGCTAACGCATTTATTTTTGAATATATCAGTCGGATTCGAATTTTTGCTCATCTACAAGCACATAAAATATTCGGCATAGCTTTAATTTTTTGTTATTTTTAATTTTTCGTGGCTGTTGCTATAAGTAAAATTTGAATTTATTATACCTAACTCCTCAGCGAATCGGAATTAAAGCTTCTTAATTGCACCAAAAAACATCGATTTTGTAAAAGTATCGATTGATTAGACCAACATCTAACTATCGTTACAACATCGATAATATAGTCGATAGTTTTTTCAGCTGGCAGCTCATTTTTGACATAACAGCGTCAAAATATTTTCCTTTTGAGTTTGCAGTGCCACTTCGAGTAGAGCATTAACATTTGCTTGCTAGATTAAAGTTAAATTTTGCACCTTTCCTTTAATGAATCGGAAACGCAAATGCAGTGCCGAGCAAAATACGTCACAAGTGTTGTTCATATAAATTAAACAGTTTTGACAAAATTTATGTTTTCGACTTTTTTTTTTGCTATCAAAAAAAAAGCGTCGTACAACACACACTGCAGATGAAGAGAACGCCATAAATTGAAGTGTAGGTTGGAAAGAAAAATAGGAAGAAAATTTGCAAGTTTTTTCTTGACGGTTGGCGCTTGCGTTCGGGTTCGAGCCTACAGCTGCCTGCCATCAACCAGCCTGCGGCCAAAGCCAAAATATACCCCATATACTTTTTGACATCTTCTAAGGTAAGTACATTTAAGAAAAATATACATTTGCATTTGCAACTGTGTGTGGAAGCTCAGTTGAGTTGATGCCCGCCCGTTGGCAAGCGGGGGTAAATGTGTAAGGCGGAGGGTTTGATGCGTGCGTGCGTGCGAATGTGTTTTGTGTGTGTTCGTGCGTGTGTGTGTGCGTGTGTGAGTGAGTGAGTGTGTGTTGGGACAAAAGCGATGCGGCGCACTTCATTTTAGCGTGAGCAAATTCTACATACACACATATATGTATGTATGTATGTAATTGCATAAAAACAAGCATAAATATAAAATGAAAAGTTATTAAATACGTATAAGCGTGTAAGTGTGTGCATATGCATATAAAAATGCGTTGACAAAAAGCGAAAAGTTTGCAAGCTTCTTGTGATCAATACTTATGCACCATGCATATATTTATATGCATATGCATACGCATACATATGTGCGTGCCTATGTGTCTGTATGTTTATTTATCGATGTTTCTCCTTCTCCTGTTACATATTTTCCATTGAATTTTCAGATAACTCAGGCGGCTGCTGCAACATTAAGCGCAACGCAATCGAAATCGAAATCGAATGTCAACACGATAACAACACAAAAAAGAGCACACACTCAAAATAAAAAAACAAAACAAACAACAAAAAAAAAACAACATAAATCTTAAACTACTACAAAATAATAATCAAAATCGCTTGAATAGGAAAAACAACGAGAACGGCGGCAACAGCAGGAACGGCAGCAGCAGCAGCGGCGGCGTTTGCAGTAGCCGATCAACAGCAACATTCAAGTGCCGAATACGATGGACATTGAAACAGATCAGTCTATCGAAGCAATGGACACCCAGGATACCCAAGAGGTCGAGATAATCACAAGCGACCTACAACAGCAGCAACAACAACAACAACAACAGCAGCAACAGCAGCAGCAACAACAACAACAACAGACAAACTCGCCGCCACAATTGCCAAAGTTTAAAAATCTGATAAATCCACAGCTGCAGCAACAACAACAACAGCAACAACAACAGCAGCAACAGCAGCAGCAGCAACAGCAGCAACAGCAGCAGCAGCAGCTGCCCAGTGAGAACGGTAACGTGCCGCCACAGCAACTGTTGGCAGAGAGCAGCTCCACATCGTTTGGCAACGAGCAAGAGATGCCAATGGACGACGAAACGAAGGAGGATCAGTTCCGCTCGGAGACGACATTCTCCTACACTGTGGAGAATGTCGGACAGATAAAGCAACAGCATCTTTCGCAGCCAGTCTATGTGCGCATGCTGCCATGGAAGATCATGGTCATACCGAACGATCGTGCGCTCGGCTTCTTTCTGCAGTGCAATGGGGAGAACGATTCGCCGACTTGGTCGTGCAATGCCATTGCCGAGCTGCGTCTGAAATGCCACAAGCCGGATGCGCCGCCGTTTACGCGCGCTCGTATCAAGCATTTATTCTACTCAAAGGAGAACGATTATGGTTATTCCAACTTTATAACCTGGCAGGAGCTGCAGGATCCGGATAAATACTATGTTAACAATGGCAGCATTACGCTGGAGGTGCACGTAATTGCCGACGCACCGCACGGCGTGCTCTGGGACTCCAAGAAACACACCGGCTACGTGGGCCTGAAAAATCAGGGCGCCACATGCTACATGAATTCGCTGCTCCAGACGCTATATTTCACAAATTCTCTACGCTTGGCCGTCTATCGCATACCGACCGAGGCCGACGATAGCACCAAATCGGTGGGTTTGTCCCTGCAGCGCGTCTTCCATGAGCTGCAGTTCGGCGATCGCCCTGTCGGCACCAAGAAGCTAACCAAATCCTTTGGCTGGGAGACACTCGATTCGTTCATGCAGCACGATGTCCAGGAGTTTCTCCGTGTGCTGCTCGACAAGCTCGAGTCAAAGATGAAGGGCACCTGCCTCGAGGGCACCATTCCCGGCCTGTTCGAGGGCAAAATGTCGTCGTACATTAAATGCACAAATGTCGATTACAACAGCACACGCTACGAGACCTTCTACGATATTCAGCTAAATATCAAAGACAAGAAAAACATCTACGACTCATTTCAGGACTATGTCGCCTCCGAGACACTCGAGGGTGATAACAAATACGATGCCGGTGTCCACGGTCTCCAAGTAAGTGAATACGCCTTCGACTAACCTCATGTTCTGATCACATTTGCTTTGATTCGGCACGTTTGTTCCAAGTTATGCATATAATATAATTTACATATCTCCAAATAAGAAAACTTTCGATCAAATTTCCCCTATTACTTACCATCCACATCAAATGGATCGTACGTTTATTCTTATTGCCTTGCTCTGTTCCCTTGATTAAAGGCATTTAAAAATCCCTCAATTAAATTTCCCCTGTTACCATCCACGTCAAGTGGAACGTGTGGATCGTACGGTCTTCCTGTGTTCCCTTTATTAAAGGCAATCAAAAATACCTCGATTTAATAACATTTTTAGGCATCTACATCAATTGGATTGTGCCAAGTATATGTATATAATTCAATTGATTCCTATTACCTAAAATTTCACCTAATTACCATCCACAAAAAATCTTCGATTAAATTCCCATTTTTACTATCCACGTCAATTGGATTGTGTGTGCGGATCGTAAAAAGACTTGATTTTCAACTTAAAATAGTTGAATAGTCGAACTCAAAGTTTTGTTCAATATTCAATTTCAAAGCACTTTTTACCTCTTGCAAAGGCGCGACTTCTGCTTAGAATTCATAATTTGAGCTGATTCGAGCTAAAATGTAACCACAGCATGTGAATCTTAACCCAAAATAAACATCGATTTTTACAAATATTTGCTTTTTCTCTCCGTCTCTCTCTCTCTCTCTCTCTCTCTCTATTAATTTGTATACAGGAGGCCAGCAAGGGCGTCATATTCACATCATTCCCGCCGGTGTTGCATTTGCATTTGATGCGTTTCCAATACGATCCGATTACAGATAGCTCGATCAAGTATAACGATCGCTTCGAGTTCTATGAGCAAATCAATTTGGATCGTTATCTGGCGGAGCGTGAGAAGACACCAGCCGACTATGTGCTGCACGCTGTGCTGGTGCATTCGGGCGATAATCACGGCGGGCATTATGTGGTCTTTATCAATCCAAAGGCCGATGGTCGCTGGTTCAAGTTTGATGACGATGTGGTCTCCAGTTGCCGCAAACAGGAGGCCATCGAACAGAACTATGGCGGCATGGATGACGAGATCTCGTTTCATGCCAAGTGCAGCAATGCCTACATGCTGGTCTATATACGCCAATCCGAGCTGGATCGCGTCTTGGGCGATATACCCGAAAACGAGATATCCAGCGACCTGGTTGAGCGTCTCGATTTGGAGAAGCGCATCGAAATGGCACGACGCAAGGAACGCAGCGAGGCCAATCTGTATGTGCCCATACACGTAATACTCGAGGAGTACTTCGAGTCGCAGCAGAAGCGACGCCTCTTCGATCTGGAGAAGACGCACCAGCGTCCATTTAAGCTAAAGCAAAACCAAACCGTTAACGAAATGGTCGAGATGCTGGTCAAGGCATTCGGTGTGCCACGCGATCGCATGCGCATGTGGAACATGTGCACGGCCCAATCACAAAAGTTCCTGCATTTCGATTTCGAGGCGGAGGCCGGACGCACCATCGAGCAGATACCCACATCCCAAAAGCCGTGGGTCATTTTCCTGGAGCTGGCACCGCCCGACAGCAGCGTGCCCCTGCTGCCCTTCAATCCCAAAACGGACGTGCTGCTCTTCCTCAAGTATTACGATGCGCGCAACAAGCGCCTCAACTACATTGGCTGCACACAGCAGCCGCTGTGCCGCCGCCTCAGCGAGCTGGTGCCGGAGATTAATCGGAAGCTCGGCTTCGAGCTGGACACCGAGCTGACCGTGTTCGATGAATATGCCGATAAGAAGATACCCAACATTAATGAGCCCATCGAGAATGTGCTGTACATGCCGCAGGATCATTTGCAGGGGCCCATTTTGATATTTGAGCGCGAGAATGTTGATGCTAAACTGGATTTGCCCACCGTTGAGGATTACTTTCTGGATCTGGTCTATCGCATCGAGATCATCTTCAGCGATAAATGCAATCCCAATGAGCCGGACTTTACGCTCGAGCTATCGAATCGCTACAACTATGATCAGCTTACCAATGCGGTCGCCGAGCGCCTCAACACAGATCCCCAGAAGCTCCAGTTCTTCATGTGCATCAGCAACTACAAAGAAACCGCCGGCAATGCCGTGCCCTACACCTACAAGGTGCGTATTTATATGAACATTCATAATATCTAAAACAGATTCAAAATTTGTGACACTATTTGATACTTATTTCATATCGATCGATTGATTTCAAGCTTCGCTATATTCCCAAAAAGAAGATTGAAGCTTTTTAACATGCGTCTTACATTATGTTAAAAGTGGCATAAATGTTAAGTTACTTAACAGAGCTTGTTCTGTTTGACTGTTTCTCCCTTATTAACTTTTGGTATTAGCAAGGTATATTGTCCAAATTTGACAATTGCGAGCTTCACTATACTCAAAGCATATTTCCAAGTCCGTATCAAATCGGTCTGCTATATTATATGGCTCCCATAGGTTCGATTATTATTTGGTTTCTTTCATTTTATCCCTTATTATACTTTCGTATTGTTTTATTCGAAAACAAATGTGTATCTTACAAGCCACAGCAATTTATATTTGTCTACGGCTATTGAAGATTTTTTTTTACATACATCTTACATTATGTTAACAGTAGCATAAATGTTAAGGGACTTTTACAGAGCTTGTTCTGTTTGTCTGTTTGCCCCACAAATCTTTTGCATTTGCTTCACAAGTCACAAGAGCTAACTAAGTAATAAATAAAAATAAATCCTTGAGTATTGTAGTTGAAAGCTAGCAATATTGATTTATATATATATATATTATAAAATTGAAATATATATTCGCAGGGTACTATCAAGGATCTGTTGTCGTACACAAAGCAGAGCACGCCGAAACGCATCTTCTACCAGAGACTGTCGCTGAGCATACACGAACTGGATAACAAGAAGCTATTCAAGTGCATTTGGGTTTCCAATGACCTGAAGGAGGAGAAGGAGTTGGTGCTGTATCCCAACAAAAATGATACAGTCAAGGGACTACTGGATGAGGCTGCCAAGACAATAACATTTGCCGAGAATAGCCGCAAGAAGCTGCGCCTCATGAAGGTGGGCAATCACAAGATTGTCGCCATATGCAAGGATGACATACCGCTGGAAACGCTGATGAAGACCAACGAGTCGATAACAACCACGCAGGGCACACAGAAGATCTACCGCATCGAAGAGATACCCGCCGAGGAGTCACAGCTGGCCGAGAACGAGCTCCTCATACCGGTGGCCCATTTCAGCAAAGAGCTATACAATTCCTTCGGTGTCCCGTTCCTCACAAAGGCGCGACACGGCGAACCCTACGGGGCGCTCAAGCAGCGCATACAGAAGCGTCTCAATGTGCCCGACAAGGAGTGGGAGAACTATAAGTTCGCCGTTATCACCATGGGGCATACCATTGACGTGAACGACAATACGTCCATTGATCTCGAGGTATATCGGACATGGACTGGCGGCCAGTTGCCGTTCTTTGGGCTCGACCACATCAACAAATCGCGCAAGCGCAGCTCACTCAATTTCTCCGAGAAGGCAATCAAAATCTACAACTAAATCCAACTATCAACAATAACAGCAAACAAAAAATATATATATATATTCAGCGTGTTCGTCGTGTGCGATTGTGTGTGTGTGTGTGTGTATATGTGTATGTGTGTGTGTGTATGTGTGTGTGGGTGCGTGCGCGCGCGCGCGCACGCGTGTTTTTGTCTCGGTACCCATCTTAATCAAAAATAACGATCGCGGGGCGAGGCGAGGCGTTGCATGGATTGGCAAGAACGGTTTGGTCGGTGGCGGCGGCGGCAGCGGCGGCGGCGGCGGTGGTAATGTCCGAGACCTAAAACCATTTTCGTGGCAACTTCCAGAACTCTTAAACATCTATAAAAACAACAACAACTTCCACAGCATCAGCCGAAGAAACTAAAAAAAAAAAGATAGAGACAAAAAAACCGAAAAAGAAAACATAAAAAAAAACCTAAAAAAAAAAAAGAAAATCCAATTTTCATTTAAATCAACATTGAAATTTGTGGATCAGCCATTTATACGTATATATATATAAACACATATATATATATATATGTATATGTATATATATGTATATATATATATGTATATATGTATATGTATATATGCATGTGCAGCAAGCGAAAACACGACCGTTTTTCTCAGTTGGATATATATTTTATATTAATTAATTAACTTTTTTTTTGCGCCTTGTTTTAAAAAAATATGTAACATCTAAGTCACTTAATATATTTAATTTGTTTCACGTTCAGCCTGTCTGTCAAAATATGCAAGAGGCAATCAATTAAATATACTTATATTTTGTGAATTGCTTTCTATATATATTCGTTGTGTGCCAGCCAGAAACTCTTCCTTCCACTGTCCAACACCCCCTCCCCCCCTCGCTCCTACACATCACAAACGCATACGAGCGTACGAACTTTTCAAATGTTTCACAACACTTAAAAGACCACCAGCAATCCGCTCCACTAGGTGGGCGGTTGGGCGGGGCGGTGTCAATGTTACACACACACACACACACACACATACACATATTAAAGTGATCTATATACACACGCCTACATACATAAACAAATTAATTTAAATTTAAGCTTAGGCTCTGCTAGTGTATTTGTATGTGAGCAGTTGTTGTTTTTTTTTTTTTTGCTCTTCTGAATGTACTAAAGTAACAAAAAAATAAAGGATACTGTAAATAAGCTTTGCAGTTGTGCCCCAAATCGGAACACGCTTACGCATACATATACACAACATCGCCTAATAAAACACACTTAAAAACTTAACACAATTAAAAACGGTAAAAATAAAAGAGTCAGTGCGGGGCAAGTCCTTTGTCAAGGATCGGCGACTCTGGAACATTTGCAGTGCGGTGCGACACCATGTAGAAAGAGAGAGAGAGAGAGAGAGGACGAGAGAGTGTGGAGCGAGGGGCAGAGAAAGAGATATATTATATATATATATATATGTATATATATACCTATATATATGTATACCTAGATGTGTAATGATAATTGATACATATAAAAAAACTACCTATATATAACGAAAAGTCGAACGAACGTTAATGAGAAAAAAAAATACAAAAACAAAATAATTATATAACTCAAAAACAAAAGGAAAAAAAAAACAAAGGATTTGTTTCAAACAATTATTTGTGATTTTAAAACATGAAATGATAAAGATAATGCTAATGATAACGTTTATGCAAATGACTAGAGAGCCCTACGTTTAATAATATTATTCATACAGTACTATAAAACAAAAACAAAAAAAAAACAACAAATAAAAAATCATTTAAATTAACAGTTAGTGCTTTTACTTTGTTAACTGTAGTGAAAAAAAAAATAATACTAAAGAAATTTAAAAGTGAAAAAGAAACAGGAAATATTTTATCACCATACGATTCATGCAGAAATACGCTATTATTATTTATGCAGAAATAAAATTATTTATGTGTAAAAAATGCAAAATAAAAGAAAAAAAATTATAAAATACCAAGAATTTAAACGATGTTTGTTTGAAATCAAATCTTATAATCAACTTATTTTCGGCAAGATCTTTAGCCGGTTAATTTTTTTAAATAACTCATGAGAATGTTTTTCCTAGAGAATTCTTTCACATCTTGCTTTAGTTCTGTTCTAATTTGTTATTCTCTTCAAGAACAGATAACGATAGCGCCTCCATGTTCAGATTGTTTTGTAGTGCGTGTCTGATCCTAGCACTAAAAAACTTTACGTAGTATCTGCGCGTGAGCATAGCCGTGCATTGTTTATTTTACATTGTTTATGCTATATACAACTAGAAGTGTCTTAGAATTTACGACGTTTGAGCAGCTCCGGCCGCCAGTTGATCGGATGCGTCTCCTCGTTGGCCTCGTCATCCTCCTTGTACACCTTAATGGTTTTGTCGGCCTCGGCGGTGATGAGACGCGTTCCAGATTGATCGAAGCACAAGGCAAAAATGCCCGCCTCGCTGTCCATGGAGCCGGGCTGGACGGGCGCCTGGAAGCGCTGAAAATTATAGCCGGTACGCCAGTCCCAAAAGAACATGGTGCCATTGTCGCCGCCAGAGACCAGCACGCCATCCGAGTTGGCCGCCATGCAGTTGACGATTGCCGTGTGGCCAGAAATGTTCTGCACAAAGTTGCCCTCGGGACAGCGCCATTGCTTGATATTGTCGGGCGAAGCGGAGGCGAACATATACAGTGATGGATGCAGCACAATGCTGCGCACGGACTTCTTGTGGTTGGTCAGCGTGCAGACGCTCTTGCCGGCAGCCAGATCCCACAAACGGACCGTGGAGTCATGCGAGCCGGTTATAATCTGTGGATTGGTGGCCTGGGCTACCACGCTAGCGACAGTGTTTGTATGGCCCGTCAATGTGTGCACATTTGCCTTGGTGCGCATATCCCAGATGCGGGCCGTTGAATCGCGCCCGGATGTGGCGAGCACATCAATTGTTGGATGGAGTGCCAAGGAATAGACGGCGGACAGATGGCCATGGTAATGCCGTATAACCTTGTTGTATTCCAGATCCCAGCATTTCACCTGACGATCCTCGCCGCAGCTGAAAAGATACGGATGTTTTGCGCTAACGGCCACACCGCGCACGGTGCTCACGTGGCCGGTTAGCGATAGCTTCAACTTGCCGCTGGCCAAATCCCAAATCTTGATGACACGATCACCAGCGCCGGTGGCAAACCATTCGTTGCCCGGCTCCACGGCTATGCAACGCACCCAGCCCAAATGACCGGAGATGACACGCGATAGCTTCCATGGTGCATGCCATTTGGGCTTGGGTATGCTGGGCGCCTTCTTTGGTATCAGCTGCACATTGCTGGCTCCGCTGCTGCTTGGCATCGAAGCGCGCACTAATGAGGTATTGATACTTAATGGCGTCTTCTCCTTGTCCCGATTGTATCTAACCAGGCTGCCAGACTCTGTGGCCGTTGCGCCCAAGTCCGAGCCCGACATGCTGCCATCCGTAATGGCCAGAGGCCTTTCAATTTGTAATGCGGACATCTTTTTGGCGTCCATCGATTTGATGGCGCGGTCAAGCACCAAACCATAAGTATCTCTTGCCTTTATTGAGCGTCTCAACTTCTCGCTGTAAAATTGTGCGCGTTGTAATTAAATGGTCAGATTTAAGCGGCATCTTTACACTTACAGGCGGTCATCAATATCCGGCAAATTGCCCTGGTTCGATACAAACAGATCGTGTGTGCGTTTAAGCGATCGAAATATAAGCGTATGCACGCTGTGCTTTTGTACATCTTCCATGTTTATGTCTATCAGTCAATATAATAGTTTATTTACGCGAAAACACTAATGTAAACGTTTAATTTGATGTTCCAAGTAAACGGAGACAGATTTGCCATTCACCCAAATAACTATCGTTATCGATTGCCGCCAAGAGATTTCAGTATTTTTTTTTTAAAATACATGACAAACTCAACTCAATAATATCTTTGTTGTTTAACATTAACATTTTATTTATCATTTATATAAAAAATTATATAAAAAAACATTAACATTTTATTTATCATTTATATAAAAAATAACATGCATTTAACTTATTACGTCACAAAAACGTGCCGGCAGTCGGAAATGCGCCTGTGATCGAATGTTGTAATCGAAATATTCGATATACGAATTCCATTGTGCTACAATTAAATTTTTGATTCACAGGACAACAAATCTGCTCTAATTCAGCTCTACAGATAAATCGTCACCCCCCACGCAGCAACCCAATCAATTATAATGCTATGTTCATTCATTTCTAAAGCAAATATGTTTTTTTTTTTTTCATTTTTATTTCTAGATAGCGGGAACCGGTGATCCTGAAGCTGCGTTACTCGATGATATAGATGAGGAAGTGGGCGAAACGGATGCCGACGAAGTGCTGGCCGTGCCATGCGCATTTTCCTGAGCCGGAGAAGGTCTCGTGTTGAAAAACTGAGTGATCTGCAATTTCAAGATACGCATTTTGCATTTGTGGAAGTCACAAATTTGTTGCTTGGCCTCTTACAATTCGTTTAATGTATTTGCACGCAGTATCGTTATCCGAACTGGAAACAACATTGTCCACCGTATAAGGCGGCGAGACGGTAACTTCGTTTAATATTTGTATGTTTGCTCCCTGCCAGGAAACTTCATTGTACTGCATTCACAAATAAAATAAAACAAATACAATAAGACCATGTTAGGCTAGGTTGTCAAACAATGTATATTGACAGGCGGCTCACCCCAAGTTGTTTGGCTATCGCTCGATAGAGCTCTTGTGCTTCTGGACTCACATCGGCATTTTTGGACTTGAGATAGTCTTGCCGTCTCTCTACTGTTTTACGTAGGCGCATTTTAACCTAAATAATAGGGAAGTTGTTAATTAAATTCACACAGAAATTGTTTGGGTTTATGCTTACCTGTTCCAGGTTGAGCTTTTGAGGATCATCAATGAAGTTTCCATTGCATTCCTTGGTCACCTGCACGTTACTGCAAAGCGATAGGTTCATCACATAAACGTCACTCAGTTCTCCTGATGTTTTCGAGTGACATTCTGTTCGAGCAAAGAAAGAAAAAGAAGAAGAAAACAGAGACGCAGGCAAAGAATTCCGCAGGTAATGTAAGGTAACCAACTAACAATGCTCAGAGATAAACACTCAAAATATATTATATAAACCATGTGACAATAATAATATATATATAAAAAATAACACACACAACTTTCCCTTTGACAGCGCCAAGTGGTAGTTGTTATCGTTGTCGTCACAATTGTTAATTATTGTTTTGAAAAAGGATACTCAATATAAGCATTTTTGTGTTATGATCGAAGGCGAGCACCTCTCCCTCCACTTCCTCCTTAAAACAGGTCGTACAGAGCACTGTGGATCCGATACTGAAGCAGTCGTTCACTGCATTAACAACGTCGGCGGTAGCAGCGGCCATTTTTAATTGTTGCTGTCGCTGCAACTCTTGAACAACTCCCGATTTGATATTGACAACAGACGATAAATATCTATATTTGTATTTATATATATATATATATATAATATATTTTTATTTGCAATATGGACCGGAGTGTTGCAAATATAAGCAAGTTGAAAATGTGTGTTTCAATGCTTCTGTTGATGCTGCGGTAGTAGATGACCCTTGTTGTGCCTGCTGCTGCTGCTGCTTGCAATTGTTTACACAATAGGCGAGCGTATTTTGTATATAGTTATCATGGAAAGTGCGCCTAATTCTTTTTGTTTATAACAAACATATGTTTTGCTCTGCTGGCTTCGCCTTGTTGTAACGTATCGTTGTGGTTGTGTTGCACTTCCTTGCCGCGGATTCGGTTCGCTTTCACATTTATATTCACGTTTCGGTGTCGGTCGGAGTTGCCTTTGCCTGTTTTTTTATCGGTTGTGCTTCTTCGCCTACGTGTTTTACGCCAGTTGCAAGCAATGTTATTGCGTGCTTTGCCCAATATATTTGCTCTGCCAGCAGCGCAAGCGAATTTTGCGTTTTAAATACGTATTTCGTGGTTTTGTAATTGAGAAGTGACAAAAAAAATATGCTGCGTACGAAAAAATTTATTGGTCAACACACGAAACAACAGCCAAAAAGGAGGCAGAATAGAAATCGCAGTGTTGCATACACCAGCAAGGTTGCAAATCCCTTCAAAGTGTGTGCATATCGATAACATGCCAAGCGCGCAAACACTACCCGATAACATCTGCTGTTTGTAGTCGATAGTTTCAGTTGCAACAAACAAAACACCGGGACCCTTGCATTTACCGCCAAAAAGGAAGCTGTTAAAAAGCCGGCAATTTATTTATATATATAGCCAATATGGTTGATTCAAGTAAAACGCAAGAACAGCGCAAGCCAAGCGCGGACACATTTCTGCCCCTCAGCCGGGTGCGCACCATCATGAAGAGCTCCATGGACACGGGCCTAATTACCAACGAAGTGCTCTTCCTAATGACCAAGTGCACCGAGCTATTTGTGCAGCACTTGGCCCGCGAGGCATACACGGCGTCCTGTGCCAAACAGAATGGCGACACGCTCAAATACGAGCATTTGTCACAACTGGTGAACAAGAGCAAAAATCTGGAGTTTCTGCTACAAATTGTGCCCGAAAAGATACGCGTGCACGAATTTCAAGAAATGCTGCGCCTCAATCGGTCCAACGCCAGCGACGATGACGATGATGAGACTGGCACCGAGTCGGAGTCGGAAGATGAATAACCTATGGCACATTTAAGCGGAGCACACGTGCATGCAAACAAATTGGGAGCATTAACACTGCAATTGGCAGTAGCTGCGAGTTGTTCGATTGCAGCTAGTTTAATTTGTGAAATTTGAATGCCTGACAACTATTTTGTTTAGTTGCTAAGGTAAATGATTTGTTTAATAATACGTATAGTTTAAGCGAAAACTCAGACCGTTGGCAACAATAGACAATCACATTTTTATATTTTCCAAAATACTACTTAATTATTTAATCTTCGGCCAGCCGAAGATAACTATTATTTTTCCTAATATATACATACGTAGTAAATGTCGCATATTTTTCATGACTTGCGCGTTTTGTTGTTGCTTGGCTGCCCATCAACTTTAATATAACCTCCAGACCCTTGGGTGCACATCAAGTTATAATTTGTTTGTATCTTTTCTGACCGCCAATTGTGCAAGGTCAGAAAACAGTCATTTTTTTTTCAACAAAGCCGCTCGAGTGAAGGGCTGATAAATCGTCAGCGTTGGCCCTCGGCAATGTGAAGTTTCGGATCCCATTGAGTTAAGTTAAAACACTTGATTCTTTGTCAATATTTTAGAATACACACATACATATGTACATGTACATGTATGCTCATCTTTATATGCAATTGCACTGTGTCATTTGATACATAGATATTTACATAGATCGATAATAATTGTGTAGATAAAAAAAAAGAACATATGAACATATGCCATAATTATTAGAATTATGTGCGTGTGCGTGTGCGCTTAGATCTTTAGGCTGACGCCCGGATAGCCCTTGGCATTGAGACCCGTCACCTTGTAGGTGGTGCCTGCCGGCGCGGGCTGGTTGAATTTGGCCGCGGTGGTCACGTACAGAATGTCCAGATTGGGTCCACCGAAGGCAACCGAAGTGATCTGCTTGGTGGGCAGCTTAATCTCCAGCAGCACTTTGCCGGTGCTGCAAGGGCAAAGCAAATGGATGGATTAACAGCATGCCAGGCATGGAGCTGGCGTAACATACCTTGGATTGACCTTGTAGATGGTGGCGCCATTGAATGTGGCCACATAGATGTTGCCCTCGGTATCAATGGTCATGCCATCGGGCAGGATATGATCCTTGGGACTGGTCTTGCGCAAATTGTAGATCACCTTGGGATTGCTGGCGACGCCAGTATCGAAGTTATAGTCATAGGACTTGACCTCATAATCGGTGGTATCAATATAGTAGAACTTCTTGGCCTTCTCATCCCAGGCAAGACCATTGGATATGCCCACATCGCTCTTGACCACCGACACATTGCCGCCGGCCTCCCACTTGTACAGCTCGCCGTGACGATGCTCGAACTCATCGCCAATGTAGCGCATGGTGCCGGCAAAGAGACGACCGCGTGGATCGGTTTTGGCATCATTTAAGCGATTCGCCTTAAATTCGGACTGCACCTCGAACAGAGTGCGCACCACCTTCGCCGACGGCGACACACCGTCCCAATTGACAATCACGACGCGGCGGCCACAGCCGACAGCAAACTCCTGGGCATTACCCTCAACGGGCAGGACAAAGCCGGCCAGTGTCTCGCCCTCAATCTGAGTCCTGTACGTCTTGTTCTGCTTGTAGTCGTAGCGCAGGAGGCTGCCTGCTTCTAAGTCCACAAAGTACAGGCTCTGTCTGGCCTCGTCCCAGTGCGGACCCTCGCCCAGACCGGCATACGAATCGGGTAGTGGCTCCACTTTGTAAGACATCTGAAAATATTGCGCATACAAACACGGGCACAATGCACAAATTGAGAGAACATTCAAATTACCGTTGGAACAAACAATGCAACTAAAAAAATAAATGTGACTAATTGGGCTAATTTTGGCTGCATCTCTTGTCTTTTGCTGCTGCTGCTTATGCTGGGAGATGTAACTGGACACTGAAGCGGCCGCCGGCGGCGCCAAGTGTTTTTATTGGCCAATATACAAAGAGAAACAACAACAAATGCAATCGTAAAGTCAAGCTTGTTTTTTTTCTCTTTTTTTTTTTTACAAATCGCGTCGCCGTTGCCAGCTGCTGTGACGTCATGCCCTTCACTTGCTCAGGCCGAGATTTTAGACTTGGCCAGCTGCGTTTGTTATTGTTATGGTCGTTGTTTTTGCTGCCTTTTTTCACGTAATTGGCGTGCATTGTGTTGCTGTTGTTGTTGTTGCTGCTGCTGCTGCTGTTATTGAACTTGTCAACCGAAAAGCGCGACCTGCTTACGGTAAACGCAGCTAAGCCTTAACATGTATGTATGTTCATTTCTCTGTCTGTCTGCATGAGTGTGTGTGCCTGCGTGTGTGTGCGTGAACAGTTTCAAACACAAACGGATCAAAGATGGCGGCTGCGTCCTGCATCGATAGACACAGTGGTACGAGACTTGCGATTTCTAATTATGTTCTCATTAATCACTTGTGGTTGGCATTTTGGAAATTTTTTAATTGTCCATTGAAAAATAACAAATCAAATTATTTCTAAGCAAGAAACAGTTGAAGGGTATTTCGCGGTAAAGCTAATTAAGTGAGCTGTAAATACATTGCACATTGATGTAACTAGCCTAAGTAAAAGGGGATTTCGCTTGTTAAATGCACTTTTGACTTGTAATAATAACAGTTAGGAAAATCTTGATGAAAAAGGCCTATTTACAGAATAGTAAACCGATTCTTATCAAATTCAGCTAAAAAAAAATATAGTTTTTAAAAGCCCAATTAATCAAAGTTGATGTAGTTAACTTAAACTAGTTATCAACTGATCGGTTTTGGTTATCTCCAGGCATGACAGCACAATTTTACACATTTTTTGGTGAGTTTGGTTAAGATCACATAAAAAAAATAAAAGAATTTCTTGAGCAAAAATAGTTAAAGTCCTTTAAAAAAGTAGAAGCTATGCAAATTCAGCTTTAAATCTTGTAAGATATAATATAATTCTCAAGAATAAATTATACAAAATTTTTTAAAAATATTACAGCTTTCTCCATTTTGAAATATGGCAGGACACGAATGCTAGACAACTTGTACACTTGTAGTACATACCTTTGGGATTTATAGGCTGGAGGATATTGACCAATAGGACACGACGCGAGCAAACAATATGCGCGAACTGAAGTTTAAGCAGCCGGCTAGGAATCTTTTTATAGCCGAATCTGGCAACAGCAGCCGGTGTATGCGTGACATACAAGCACATAAACACACATACACACACATACACACATACGCACATACTTATACATACAAGAAACAGCTTGTGTTCTGTGGAGTGATAAGCGTCGAGTGTGAAGCCAACGCCAGATAAGACATACACACACCGAGACACGCCTGGAAGTACGAATGTGTGTATGTATGGAAATAAAAAAAAAAAAACCAAATAACGCTGAAGATCGCTAAATGCGCTCGGTTCCCGGGCTCGGCAATATAATCGCAATCAATATTTGTTTGTGCATTGTAAGTGCTACAGTTATCCACTATTGGATGAATTACGACAAATGGGTACGTTAGGCTCGAGGTGGGCGCGGCGCTGGGCCCACCCATAGCTGTGTTCACTGTATTGCAAAATGCAATTGCCGCTAAGAAGCGTTAAAACAAAAACAACAGCAAACAACTTTCAATCTGTGAGCATTCATTTGTATATATTTTTTTTTGCTGTGGGCGGCTGTGATAAGCCCAAATGCGCTTATTTGAATTAATATAATTTAGTTTGGCGTATAGGAGTTATCTGCCCTTTCCGGTCCACAATGGTGCGATAAATTGCAAAAAAATAAAAAGAGAAACAAATCGATTGCGGCCCACTGTGCCCGCCGCCCCAATGAAAGGATGCTGAATCCGTCGATCGGTCAGGCGACCGGGTATTATTTATGCGAATGCTCTTTGCACTTTTCAGCCAGCTGATAGCAGTGGGGGGCGGCCTGGGCTGAACAGACTATAGACCTTATCTCCAGTAGCCACTAAATGACTTGTCAAATCGTTTATTCCCAATTTAAATGGTTCTTTAATTAATTTCCAACATGATTTATGGGCATATTATGATTGTTCTCTGACTTGACATGACAATTAAAAAGCTCACATTATGTTTGTCATCTATTCATATGTATATATAAATACATATGCATATATTATATTATATTCTAAAGTTATTAATAAACTGTCTAATCTTATGGGAATATTTTTAATGCGTGTGTTTGATAAAGATCTACCTATTTGATTAAGAGAACTCGAAATATTCCCAAAACAATGCCCCAAAGTATCTGTGCCATATCTAGTGTAAACTATATATTTGCAGATGGTTCTACTTTTACGGTTTGTATATATAGTATAGGTTCATTCGAAACGAATCGATCAAAATGTCTGAAACACTTTTAGAGCTTTTCTTTTTACGCTTCCCAAGAATCTTAACTTAGGACATCAAGGTATAAAAAACAGCAAATTTATATCAAATTCTCTGCATTATGCACTGATTCATATGGTTTAGGGAGCTCGGGAATCAAGGTAGGTATATATTTTTGATAAGAATTTATTCATTTTCATTAAAATGGGATTATTGTGATAAAAAGCTTATAACTATACATATACATATGGGCACATTATTTACACGTTACTATATACAAATGGTTGTTTTATTGAATATAAACATAGCCGCAAATACGATGTGCTATCATTAGTTACATATCCGTAATTATCTGGTGAAGTGCAATAGGTGAAACTTATACGAATTGCAATAAACGGGAAAAGTGTCATTAGATCAATATTGTGTATTGGATAGTTGCATCAATGTTAAAAATCTGCTTACAAAGGTAACAGAGTAATGTGCAGTTGGCTATATCCGACAGCAAAGTTGTTTTTGTATAATGCTGTGACTAATTAAATTCAATACAGTTTTTCTTGTTATGTGCATGTAATAAATCCGTTTATTTTACCTGGTCTAATCTGTTAAAATCAATAAAAAACCAAATTGAACGCAATTAAGCAAATGAGAATATGTCAATAAGTCAAGCAAAACAAATAATAAAATATGCGATAGTCTGAAACAGCTGTTTATACTCGATAATTGAATATCATAACTGCTTGGAGTAATTTACTTCGTATCGAATAAATTATTGAGAATCGGTGCCACAACTGAGCGTTAATATTCTAATACTTTATATGTGGAATTATAGTTTCGCAAAAAAAAAGACTCGCCGAAAGCAAAATAAAAGAAAGGCACTCGATTTATACAATCGAACTTTTCTATCGCTGTTAGTTAACAGACACTGTTGTCATTAACATGGAGTTAACACTAGTCATCGATAGTAACGTTAGTGTCATCGATTGCTCTGGACAATTATCATTTGTTGTTGTTTCGTCGCAAGGTTCGGACGTGTAGTTATCCGAGGTGCACATTGGAAGTCGTTCGGCTCGTTGCGTTAATTTCATTTTTTTTTTCTGTGTAATTTTGTTTTGCATACTAAACGCAAACGGACACGACCACGACGGAGTCGTTTTGACTAACCGATACCGATACCCAATGCCCGTGCCCAGGCATCAGCAGATGTGAAATGTGACGACACGACGAAAAGTGTCCGCAATCGCGCAGCCGAGGCGACAAAAACCATTTTGCAAAAGAAAAAAAAAAAAAAAAGAAATAGAAAAAAGTGAGAGGAATCGGCAGCGACGCTCACGCGTTGCGCCCCCATTCAAAATAAAAGTGAAAACGTGCAAAATACACAAAGCAAAAAAGAAAGAACAGCAGCAATAAAGTATACATTTTAATCGAAAAATGTGCGACGCTGTCGCTACTACAACCACAACAGCACCAGGATCAGGAACAGGAACGAGTGGTGCTGCTGGCGATACAGCGATAGCAATGGAGGAGCGTACGCGACAAAGCTGCTGTCGCCTATGCATAGCGCCCGCCAGCGAATGCATTTCGATCATTAACAGTTATGCGGCCGATAAGGAGCCACTGGCCACTAAAATACACAACTGCGTAAATATCAAGGTGAGTAAACCAAATGTCACCAGACGGCGCATAGCGTTGCCAGCGGCATATACGTAATACACTCATCCGCAACGACATCGACCTGCTGCTGCCGTCTGCTGCCACCTGGCTCCTCAAACCGAAACCGTTATACACACTGCTAGCTCCCATTCCCTTGTGCAGCCCGGAGCCGGGACAGATGGCTGGCAGCAGCCACACCCGACATCGCTGCTGCTGCTGCTGATGATGATGGGTCATCCACTCCTGCTCTTGCTGAGCGAGGCGCTTCCTGTCTGTGCGTGTAATCGATAACACCTCTAACGTCGACAACTCTACCTAGCTTTGCTTGGCTGACCAAAAAAAAAAAATATATATATATCAGAAAGTGAGGTTAAATACGAAACCAAAAGTAAAATATGCCTCATCAGAAGCGAGCTGCTGCTGGCCCCATTTGATTGTGCAAGCGCTGGCGCTGACGACGACGACGAGACCGATACCGATACCGAGACCGAGCCAAACGTTGTTTCGCTCGTTGCCAGCTGCAGCATTCTCTTCTACCCAATACAATCCCCCCCCTGCTCCGACTTTTCCCTGACCCTGCCTCAGTGGCACTTGCCCGTGAGCAACATCATCATCATTGGAAATGGAAACGGAATCGAGCATTCGTTTGTGCTTGTCCATGCCGTGTGCTCCGGCTCGGTGCCGTCTGCCTCTGGCTTTGCTTGAAGTGCCAAGTCACGATGCCCGACGACGACGCGACGGCCATCGCCGTTTATTGGTATTGGTGTAACTTTGTCGTTGTGGTTGTCGCTGGCGATGCCTGTGGCTCGCTGGCTGCTGCTGCTGCTGCCGCCGCCGATTGCTTGCTTGCTTGGCTGGTTTGTCGCTCGCTGCTCGATTGCCGACGTTAACGTCGTTGTCGTCATCGTCATCATCGGCATTTCGTGTGCTACGTTGGCATGAAAGTGAGCAGAAACCATGGGCAGCTGGCGTGCCTGGGATTCGATTGCCATTCCTATTCCCGTGCAGGCAGCGGATTGAGGTTAGAATTGGCCGGCAAGAAACGGCAAAAGCCCACAATTAATAATAACAACAAACTATGCTCATTGTTTATTATTTACACATTTTTGTTGCTGGTGCTACTGCTGCTGCTTCTTCCCATGCCACCGTTTGCCGCTATTCACAGAAACTAGAGATGAGTCAAGTGCGTGCGTGCAAACTTGAAACGAAAAAAGCAAACTTATCGAAAGTTTAATTAGTATGCCGTTTGCTTGAGATGCACTTGCAATCGATTATTTGCTAATTGCAATTAATGCAATAATAAATAATTATAGGAAAATATAGTATATTTTGCTATTCCCATAATCTTATCTCGTGTTATAACAACAATGTCTTCTTGTGCACATCACTAAGCACGACACGAAAAACAGCACAAAACGTAGAGAGCAATGAGCGGCAGCGGCGCCCGAACGGCCATTCAACGGCAACAAAATTTTCGAGGCCGTCACCATCGACGAGATTGAGAGCGTGCCAGAAGGCGAGAGACGTTCGTGCGTGCATGTGTGTGTGTGTGTGTGTATGTGTGTGTGGAGCTTGGGTCGCGCTTGGTTCGTTTCATCTCGGTTGTGGCTGCTGCTGCTGCTGTGCCTGCCCAGCGCCAGAGCAATTACGTATAATTTTTGTGCTCGCCTCGCTTCCATGGAATTCGCCGCCATTGTACATGAACGCTGGCGATTCTGGCGGCTTCGCATGGCAGAGCTGCTGCCCAGTCCAGTTCCAGTCGCAGTCGCAAAACCAAGCCCAAGCCCAGGCCCAGGCCTAGGCCCAGAATCAACTCCAAGTCTCGATTAATATCAGCATCTGACCAAGCCCAGCGTCCAGTCTATTTCCGTTTGCTCTCAGCTTGCCCGACCCCCTGGCCATGATGATGCCTCTCTCTCTCTCTATGAGCTCTCTCATGATTGCGCGCGCGCTCTTGCCGTGTCCTTCACTGGCTTCCATTTGTGACTCCTCGCTGGGCCCATGATATCCGGTGCAGGCACCTCTGGGGCAAAGCGGCAGCCGCACAAAAGCGAATACGCAAAACGAAAAAAAAAAAGACGAAATAAATAAAAATGAAGAGGAGAAAAATGAAAAGAAAGACAGCAAATGAAACTGCCTTTTGGATTTGTGGGCTTCGCTAGCTACGCTTTGTTGCCTGGTGCTCTCGGCTCGGTTATTGATTCTTTCATTTGGCAGGCACAGCTGAGCCAGCAGGCAGCCAGACGACGGGCAAGCAAGCAGGCCGGCAGGCAGGCATTCAGTCAGTCAGTCAGTTAGGCAGGCAGGCAGGCAGGCAAACCCAGAGTCGCCCTCGTCATCCACTTTTCGTTCAACACAAAATGGTTGCCTGCTGCTCGAGTTCGAAACTCAGCACAGCACAGCTCGGCGCGACGCAACGACTCTCTGGACTGCGCCCCCGGCAACGACATCATCATCTACGTCGGCGTCGTCGTCGTCGTCGTCGTCGGCACGTTGCTGCTGCGTGTGCTTGGTGCTTGGTGCTGGCACTGGGTTGCTCTTTGGTTTCGCTTTGGCTCGATTTCATGGTGAATACACCAGCAACCAGCAGCAGCAGCAGCAGCTCAACCAATACACACACACACACACACACAGACGTATATACGAGCATTTCCACACAAGCGACCATTTGGTTGGCGTCATCGCTGTGCGGTTCGCTTGTTATCTGGAGGCGGACCACATGCACACACACATACGCACAAGGCACAGAGTAGAACAGCAGAGGGCAGGGCAGATACAAACGTATATACGAGTTGGTTTTGTATATTTTTTGTTGTTGGCCGCTCTGTTCAAGCAGATTAACCTGGGCATGGAAGTTGCAGTTGTTGCCAGTTGCCTGCGTTCCGCATCGAATTTCGGATACACATCATCATCATCATCATCAGCCGCAGTGCCCAAGTTAAGTTCAGGTGAAAAAGCCAAACTTTCTCTGATCAGAAGCGCTTGGTTGTTGGTGGGAGGTAGGAGGGAGGGAGGGCGGAGGCTGGCGGGAATGGGTGAGAGTGGGAGAGAGAGAGAGGGAGAGATTGAGATAGAGATGACACTGATTAAATAAACTTCAATAAAAGAACGCGTCATATTTTGCCCTTTGGCTTTGCATTTATCCGTTCCAACAACCATATTGTAAATGTTTGTCATACAATCGATAACTAAATAATTTATCGATGCATTTGTTAGTAACAAATGCACTTGACTGACGTTGGCAATCGTCGTCGTTGTTGTTGTTCTGCTTCTGTGTAATTCAATACGGCAACAACAACCGGTAAAGATCAGCAGCACACGGCTTGCTAATGCTTAGGGTTACTTTTGCTGGAGAGGAGGACACACATACACACAGCTGACGACGACGAATAAGGACACAAAGGCAAATACGGCAATGAAGGAAAATAAAAACGATAACAAGCAGAACCCAAAAACTTGTTCAGCTCCGAGATCATGCGGCGTTGCAACGCCAGGACGGGCTGTTCCCGAGCGACGCTTTAATTCTGGCCAGCATCTTCTCTGCTTCGTGCCCTCATGGCGAAGCAGCGCTGATGATGATTGTTGCACCTGGTGGCCAACAAAATGCAGCAGCTGGCAACTGTGGCAGCTGCTTCTGCATCTTGTTTGTATTGATGGATGAAAGATTTCCTTTTCAACTTCAACTTTCTAAAACGCCTGCCTGACAACGGCCCAAACAATTTGTGCCTTTTTCACCGCAAAATGCTTGCAATTTTATCGAAACAAAATTCCTTCTGCTGCTTACATACACTTTTGATTATTCGCTTTGCTTAAAGTATAAGCTCTTAAATATACTATGTTTGGGTAAAAATGTAGGTTTTCTGTTTCACGGAATAAAAACTGAGAATTTGTGCATTGCAGAATGCCTTATTTTGCTTTCAAACAATTGGCAATTGGCCGAACATCTGTTCCATGCTGCGATTTAATACTAACAACAAATACATTAAATACTAGATGAGTTATGTAATTTGACAATAACGAAACTTTGCCGCCACTTTCTTTTAACAGTGGTCAGCAGAGACAAAAGCAACATAAATTGTTTGTATTTAATTCAAATGCACATTTATCCCAAACAACAACATCAGCAACAATACTAATAATGCCTATTAAAGTCAACCACCCTCTTTGCTGGCCCCCTACGCCAAAGGCTTTCGGTGGTGTTCCTCCTTCGGTCACACTTGAGAAAGAGATGTGCCCAACACGATGTTGCTGTGCGGGTCCCTTGACTGGCTGAGTATGGGGAATAAGGTGAATGAACAACATATTATCGAAACCCTTCAAAGCCAAAGTGGGGCGGGGAGATAGGCAGGACGGGCATCGCAGGACTCAAGTGCGTATATAATACATTTATATAAGCGTACATATATGTGTATGCATGTACATAGATGCATATGCATGTACATGCATATATGTACACTCAATCACACCCACACACGAAAATACTAGCTTGGGGGTTTGAGATGCGCGTCATAGGAGTGCCGTTTGTTTTTGCGTATTACAAAAACATAAATGAAGCTGCAAAAATAGATAAATTTGTGTGTATATTATGTGTATGTATGTACGTAATGCGCACACACACATAACGCAAATGCTTTTGAATATTGCAAGCTGTCAAATGCATATGCCGGCTCAAGAACAGCAACAACCTACGATTATTTGCGCTTCTGTTTTGGTTTTTGCTTTCGTACTTTATTTATTCAAATTTGACAATAACACTGGCTGGCATATTGGACACTTGATATCGATACTAATTTTGACGAACGTTTGTGGATGGTGTAAATTACGATATTTTTGCAATGATTAATTAGAGAATTGTTCAGAAACTGGAATAAAATAAAAACGAGTATATAGAACGCCTTCAACATAAAATGCTTATATTTCAGAATTGTTCTTGTCGTTTATTGTTTTAAACACATTTGTATATGGACTTTTAGAAAATAGCCAAAGACTTGTTTATAGAACTCATTTAATATAACAATATTATTTAAGAAATTCTAAGGCTTACAGAAATTTAAATTGTTTGCAAATTAGGAATTTGTGTGTTTTCACATACATATGTAGCTTAAGAGGTTTCTTTATCTAAAGGTCAATGCAAGTGCAAATCGAAATACCTATAGATTTTTGTATTGGGCTGTGAGATGCATACTCACACAAGGGCTTTCATTCTTAAGAAGTCGTTTTAATACATACATGTATGTGCACATGCGTGTAAGTATATGTACATACATATGTGCTGCATGTACATACATTTGTATGTACATATATGCATGTGTCTTATGTCCCTACACACTTTTAATTGAAAATCCCAAATAGTCCCATGCCACAGACAATTAAAAGCAAATTATGCATAAACACAAAGCCACAGATATAGCCAGAAGTGCAACAACAATTCTATGTTTATATACCTAATATGCATCCGTCAACTTGCACATTGGCAAATACATAATCAAGTACATGCACACAACGGTATTTACATGGTTATACATATGTATGTAGGTACCCATACATGGAGACACGAAGCGCTGTCAGGCGAAAGGACATGGGACAAGTATATGAATTGCAATGTTGTGTGTGTATGCATGTATGAGTGTAAGTGTGGTTTGCTGCAATACTCAGTTTTGCATATAATTATAAGCAGGTCATTGACATTAATAGACTAGTTAGCGGCATAGGTTTCCCGCTGCCTCAACAATCGCCTGGAATGCTTTTGCTATAAACGAAGAAACCCCATACCGTCGCTGGGTGGACAGGACAAAGGTGTGGGCACATTTAGTTTCGGATGCGGGGCTGCCAATGCCGATGACTTCTAAATGCATCCCCAATGCATCGAATGCATCGTTAAGTACATAAAGAACAACAAGCTTAAACAACACGGTCGTTGCACAAATTGACTTTTATCAACAGCGCAAATAATTTAGATAGAACAAGAAGCTAAACATAATTTACGACAAATACATTCATACATATTTAACTGTTATCTTCTGTAACAGCATATTTTGTATTAAATCCATATGAGAAATCAAAACTTACATGTGGTCACACTGACATCGGATAAATAATTAGGCTTCTAACATTAGACACTAAAAATGACAGAAGAAGCCGTAGCTAAAATATTAATTTGATAAAATGAAATTGACCTTTATTGAGACAAGGATATGAATATCTTAATTAATTGATATCATTAATATTGGATGCAGGTCTGCACTATCAAGCTCACTTTTTAAAAAACCTTGACTGCGGCATTCAGCTAACCCACGCCTCATTGATTAGATGTAAAAAAATATAAGAAATTGACGTTAATTCATATTTAAATTAATAATAAAAGCCTGTCTTTTTGAGATTCCTGAATCTACATGTGGACACACTGACTGTGAATATATTAAATTATTGGTTTCCATTGATTGATCGATAAACGTATTGAAAAATACCCAAAATTTAAATACTCACTTTTAGTTTAATTGTGTCAATAACTAAAGATATGTGTACACTGAAAGTATTTTTAAGCGGACACAGTCCAATTTTGCTGTTCTGCTATGGAAGGTGTCCGTTTAATGGATTTGTCGAAGCAAATGAAATCACATTCAGTTATTCTCTTCCAAATTTAAAAATGTGTATATGTAAATATGCATGAATGTAATAAAATACATTGTAATGAAAGAAAGAAAAATGTTCGCTCTATCCGTATAATATACAACTCTTGTACATGCTGTTGATATAGACTCTTGCAATTTATATTATATATATATGTCTTTCAGATCACGCCGTTGGATCGTCTATCGCTGCATATTTGCCATGCCTGCATCAGCTATTTGAACTCTTGGCAGAGCTTTAAGAATCGCTGCCTCAGCTCACAGTCCAAGCAGCGGCAATGGCTGGACACCGATAAAAGCAAGCAGCAGACACTTTTAGGATATTTGGATTTGAACAAAACGGAGAATGGCAGCTCCATTGAACAGCAGCACGAAACAAACATCGATTCAGCGACAGTTGCAGCTGAAAAGGCGTCCGCCAACATATTGGATGGCATACCTTCGCTGAAGAAACGCAAATCGTTAACAGTCTATGTGAGTCCAAAGCAACAGCTACAACAGCTACAACAGCTACAACAGCTACAACAGCAACAACAGCTACAACAACAGCAGCAACAACAACAACAACAGCAGCAGCAGCAACAGAATGCTGCAAGAACAACGAGCGCGGCGGCGGAGTCACAGCAAACACTGCAGTCCCTTTTATTGCAGGTGCCCTCAGCAACATTGTCAACGGCGTCAACTCAGCAGCAGCAACAGCAACAACAGCGCAAATATCAACAGCAGCAGCAACGTGGCAGGCAGCAACATTACCACCAGCAACAACAACATCAGCAACAACAACATCAGCAACAACAACATCATCAGCATCGACTGAGTCGAATACGTCAACCACGACGCCAGCAACAGGCGGCAACGTCTGCTCAGCGTTTGGCTAAGTTCAAGCCTAAATTGTGTTTACCATTGGATATATCAGTGCCACCGCTTCCACCGTTGTTGCCGCCGCCGTTGCCGCCAATGTTGTCAACTATTGTTGCTGCTGCTGGTGCTGATTTGGCGCCGTTGCCATTGCCGTTGTCGCTGCCGCTTGATTTCAGCCAGAGTCAGTGTCAGAATCCGAACGCGAATCAGAGTCAGAAACATGGCAGCGTGTTGCCGCCACCGCCACCGCCGCCGCCGCTGCCGCTGCCGCTGGCTCCAGTTGCAGCAATGACCAGCAACGCCTCTGCCTCTGCTACTGCCACTGCCGCAGCCGCAGCCGCAGTCACGACACCATTGCTCATGCCGGTTACGCTGCAGAGCGCTGCCCAGCAGCTGCGCTTTTTCAGGCGCTATTCCTATAATGTAATTGTATCGTGCATTCGCAAGCGTCCACAAGTCACATACACCATTATGCCACCCAACCAACCCCTACTCACCAGATGCATCAGCCGGTGCATATTTTCTGTTGTTCAAATTGAATAGAATATATAAAAGAAAAAACAAATGCCCCAATATTGCACGTTGAACTTATCGAATGTTTCGTTTACAGCCGCTGCCTGCCATGCCCATCAAGGATGAGCCCATTGACGACACGGATGATGACTTCCAAATGAAGTGCATAGACGAATCCGATGATATGATGGATCCAACAATGTTCCTAGAGCGCTCCGAGCATGAGGGCGATGTGCCACTAATGGTAAGCAACAAAGCACCATCCGACTACGACCTATCAACTTCTGTTGAGCTCTGAACTTAAACATACTAAATCTATAGCAGACCAAAAAGAATGCGGCAAAAACATGCCCAACAAATATTTTAATTGAAGAAAAGAAGTAACAATCGCAAAATCGAATCAATCAAAAATGTAAATGTAAATGTAAAATTAGTAAATTTTTAATTATTTACAATTCAGTAACAGCTATTTAATACATGAACAGATTGCAATCGAAATGAAGAATCGGCAATCGATGAATATCGATTAAAATCAAGAATCAAGACTAAGAGTTATCGAGATTTTTCAAAACTTTAAGGGTCTCGCCTTTTGGGTTGCCAGCTGATTTTTTAAATGAGTTCTTTTTATACTTTAGCTTTCGACTGTGAAAAGGAGAAATAAATGAAAATTCAAAATAATTGAGCAAATATGTAACAATTTAGAAATGTAAATAGAATTGAGAAGACAAGTGCTTCAATTGGATGTTAATTTAAAATTGGACCCAATACAAGAAATTATTCATGCAAATAAATATATATGTATGTAGATATGTATGTCAGTTGGATAATCTGCATTTTCCCATCTCTCTTTGCATAACAGACCTCCGACTATGATTACACGGCGCAGCATGGCGTGACGGCGGTTGTGGCGGCGGCATCGCTGCCCGCCAGCGCGGTTGCAAATGTGGCCGCCGCTGGCGACTCCAAGGTGGCCAGCTGCCGTGCCTGCAGTCTGCAGTTCTCGACGCGGGCGAATGCGCGACGCCACGAGCGCAATCTCCATCCGAATCTGTTCCAATTGTCGACAGACTCGCCAAATAATACGCCCATCACAAAACCGACGCCGGCATTGGCAGCCGCGCTGGAGATACAGCGTGCAGCAGCCGCGGCAGCGGCCACCGCGGAGGCAACTAAGGCTGCCGCCGGTGGCAACATATCAGCGCAAAAGTATCGCCAGGTGGTCATGAACACGTTCATCAAGTGCGAGAACGGCGGCTTTGACTACGACAATCCGGAACAGTATCAGCCGCTGCTCACACGCGACAAGGTTGACTTCATTCAAGAGAACAACGAGTTTCTGGAACAGTACCAGACAATGACCTGCCGCTGCTGCAACAAATACTTTAACACATACAAGAACTTTATGGCGCACGTACGCAAAAAGTATCCGCTGCTGCCGCGCAATTTATGCTTCAACTGCCTCAAGATGAACGACTCCAAGGCGCTCTTCATATCGCATCTGAAGAAGCGCAACTGCATCAATTTGTATCGCGTTCTCAACGCTCTCCGCGTCAAGCAGCCAAACTTCTCTCATGCCACCGCATCCGGAGTGGCTGTCTCAACCGATATGAGTGGTGTTCAAGGTGCTGCTGCTGCTGCTGCTGCAGGGGCAACAGCACTCGAAACATCAATGGAACGGCCAGAGAAGCTGCGCGCCAAGGAGCTGCTGGTAAACAAACTGTATGAGTGCAAGCTCTGCCCAAAGGGCTTTCGCACCAAGCACGAGTTCCGCACCCATGTGTACGACAAGCATGCGGATGTGCAGCGCAAGGATAACAATTCGATACAGTGCAGCTTCTGTGGATTGGACTTTGCCGATCCCGTAGATCGTCGCCGTCACTACAACAACATGGACTGCATTGTGCGGCTACGCTGCATGACCTGCGATGCCAAGCTGGAGACGCATCAGCGCTTCCTCGACCATGTCTATCAGGATCATTTGGGCGGCGTCAGCAGCGACAATGCGTCCACCGCGAACAGCGGCATGGATCATTCGCCGGGCAAGCGCAGCCTGCTGGGCGCTCTTGGCATTGGTGTCAGTCAGTCATCCAATGATGAGTCGCGCAGCAGCAGCCACAACAACAACAATGCAGTGGAAACGCCGCTCACCTCAACACCAAAGCCAGCTGCATCGGGAACTGCAGCTGCGGCGACCAGTGGCGGCTCCACATCTGGCAATCGCGATGCCCCCAAATCGCAGTATTTTTCCCGCATGCCGCAGGTGTGCCCCATTTGTGGCCAGCAGTACAACAACTACAACAACGTGCTGCGCCACATGGAGTCAAAGCATCCAAATAAACTGCCCGAAACGTACAAATGTGTACGCTGCGGCCTTGGCTATCCGCGAATCTCATATCTGCGCGAGCACATGATTAATGTGCATGGCGTGGACAAGAATCGGCATTCCGGAGGCTTTGAATATATTGTTAATGCCGATGCTGTTAAATTGGCGGATGGCAGCACGCCCAATGTCTATACCGGACGCTATGATTATGTGATGAAGGATCTGATGTCAATAACAAATGGTGGGACACTCGGTAATTTTTTGTTTGGCCCCCATCAAATCCATCACCCAAGTGTGAAGTCCTGTGCCAGTGTCCTAGTCACCCCCAAACATGCTTTTCATACAGTCGATATCTAAATAATAGAATAACGTATTAGAAAAGAAAGTTAAATGAATTCTGATTAGCCTACGCTTAATATTTTTATGGCTGCTATATGATTCAGTCAATCAGATATTCAGGGTCCATTTGATATGTATTCGATTTAATTTGTTGATTTTGTGCTCTTACATATGTTATGCAAAACTAGTTTCTTTAATTTTTTTTAAAAGTCGCCTTTCTATGCGATTTTCATGAACTCAAGTTTACAGCATGTTGACATTCTGCTAGCAGTAGTTCTGTTAACTTAAAGAAAATACTGAGGAATATGTAAGTGAAAGCATATTTAATCATATTATTTAGGTATTGACTGCATTATAAAGGTCTTTAGGCAAGCGTGAATACTCAAGTTCTAATATATTACGTTCTCTACCGCCTTCTCTCTTTTGAACAGATGATGAGGACGAGGAAAGCGGCAGCGTTGCCAAAAAGATGCGCCTTGATGACAGCAGCAACAACAGCAGCATCAACATGAGCATCGCCAATCAGCAAAAGGAATGCCTCATCTGCAATGCGGTGTTCAGCAACAACATTGGCCTATCCAATCACATGCGCTCGCATTATACCGCCTCCACGACGACGAGTGCAGCGCTGGCGGCGGCCAATCGCATGACGCCAAAGTCACTGACAATTACCGCAACGCCGCCGCTGGAAACGGCTGTCGCATCGTCCACTGCGTCCATTGCGGTGTCAGCGGCGGCGGCAACAGCAGCAACGCCCGCCACAAGCACAGCTGCAGCTGCCGCAGCTGCGAGTGCAACTACAACAACAAGTACAACAGCAGCCGCCGCCGCTGCTGCTGCCTCCGCGTCGGGCAGTTTGCCGCCGGCGATGGCACATCAAACGCCACAGGAGCAGGCGGTATTCCGACGTAGCCTGGATCAGGCAGCCGATCGTCGCTTTCGGCGCATGCGCTGTCGCATCTGCCAGCGCAGATTTAGCTCAAAGAAATCGTACCGCTACCACATGCTGACCGACCATCAGGTGCAGAACGTGCAGTTCATCAAGTGCAAGCTGTGCAATGCGGAGTTTGCCTACGAAAAGGGCCTCAAGGTGCATCTCTTCAAGGTGCACGGACGAGCCATTAAGGACGAGATGATTGTGAAGCAGTTCGAGTGTGATATCTGCTCCATTGTCTACAGCTCTGAGCTGGAGCTGCATCAGCACAAGCGCAGCGTGCACAAGTCCCAGCTGGGCGCCAGTGATGCGGCCAAGTCAAAAGCGTCGGCTGCCGATCTCGCCGAGACCTCCGGCACGGCTGTGCCCGCCCTGCCGCTCTACTGGTACCAGTGCAAGTACTGTCCATCCAATTTCAATACCAACAAGAAGCTGGCCATACACATCAACTCGCACGACGAGTTCGACTCGAACGATTACTCGTGCAAGGACTGCGGCAATGTCTACAGTGGCCGCAAAAGCCTTTGGGTGAGTGAACCCAAAATGCCCAAATATATCTAAATATTAATTATATTCAATATTTTTTTATACAGGTGCATCGCTATAAGAAGCACCCGCAGGTGCCGGATCCCGCTGAGTGCACGCTGTGCCGCAAGATGTTCTTTGACCGCCAAATGCTGGAGAATCACACGCCCACCTGCAATCGGAAGCCCATCACTGCCACCGGCGCCCATCAGCAAGATTCGCAGCAGCAGCAGCAGCAACAGCAGCAGCAACAGCAGCTGCAACTGCATCAGCAGCGCGGCATATTTAAGCACAAAACGGGCGACGATGACGAGGAGGAGGATGATGATCAGCTGATGGTGCTGGACGACGGTGTCTGCGTCGGCAGCAGCAGCAGCAACGGCGGCAATGCTGCAACAGCAGCAGCTGCAGCAGCAGCATCGAGCAATGCCAATAGCAGCACATTGAAGATACGCATACCGGAGGTGGCATGCACCATTTGCGGTGCCCGGTTCACCGATCAGGAGATGTTCAGCAAGCATATACAGAAACATGAACAGGATCTGTATGTGGATAATCCATTGGCGGCCATGTTCGATGATGGACCAGCGGACGCTGGCCAATTTCAGGTGGAGCGCCAGAACGAGAACGGGGAATACGCGTGCGATCTGTGCGCCAAGACGTTCCCCCAGGTGATAGCGCTCAAGGTGCATCGCAAGTGGCATTTCAGAGGTGATAGCAAGCAGGTGAGCTTTTTGGGCTTGTGCAGCGAGGTGAATCTCTTGTGTGAATGGCTCCCCAACCGTGCGGATCCATTCGTGAGCGTGCTAATTAATAATTAATAATTGCGTTTGTTGTTTGTTGCCTCCGCACCAGTCGCAAAAACAAAAAAAACACAAATAGACAAAAAACAAATGAAAACAAACACATTTGAAACAAATATTTAAATTGATGAGAAAGCGCCAACGTTTCGTGTGGCGCAGCTTTTGATTTGGTTTTCACTAATTTTATTATATTTATACAAATCATATTTAGAATCCCATCATCGACGGCGAAGCGACAACGCTGAACAACAGCAGCAGCAACAACAACAACAACAACAATTCGCTGAGCTCCTCATCGATGCTGCATCTGCGCGAACTGCATGCTGTGGGCCTGATGCCCAATCAGCAGCACCAGAAACAACAGCAACAGCAGCAACAACAACAGCAGCAACAACAACAACAGCAGCAGCAGCAGAGGAAATCGCTAAAACGGAAACGTGAACTGAAATGCGAATATTGCGCATCCACATTCATTAGCAACAACAACCTGCGTCGCCACATGTACGAGCTGCACAAGCACGAGGTCAGCAACCTGCCGGAGCCGCCAGTGATTGAGGTGGATGAGCCTTTAACCTGTCGCCGTTGCGGCGATCTGCAGTTCGATACCAAGGAGCTGTGGATCGAGCACAAATTGGCCGATGCCAAGGTGGTGCGTCCCTTCTGTCCATTCCAATGGGGCTGCGATCTGTGCGGCGAGTACTTGTCGCGCAAGGAGAAGCTCATCAATCACATTAACAATCATCTCAAGGAGGATGTCATTGTGCCTGTGGCGCTGGCCACCAAGCCAGCCTCAACTGCACCCAGCAAGAATGCAACAACAAAATCTGCAGCAACAACAGCAGCGGCAGCGGCGGCAGCAACTGGAGGCACAAAGGGCATAATCAGAGCGGGAGCAGTAAGAGTGCTTAAACATAAACAATCGGATGAGCTGCAGGAGCAGCTGAACATGAAAGTGGCGAAGCGGCAGCAAAGTGTTCATGTGGATGAGGAGACGGCGGGGCAGGAGCAGCAGCAGGAGGAGGCGGATGATAGTGATATGGATGATGATAGTGGCGATAGTGGCGACGATGATGAGGATAGCACAAGCGCCGATGATGATGACGACGATGATGATGACGACGACGACGAAGATGATGACGACGATGAGGGCGATGTGGACGATGACGACGATGACGAAGATATTGTGGAACAGCAGCTGCTGCAGCAACAACAACAACAACAACAGTCTCTCAATAGCAACAAGAACAAGAACAACAATAACAACAACAGCGTGGTTGCAAATGAGGATGACGATGATCTCATTGAGGAGGTAATCGAGGATGATGGCATTGTCGAGGAGCTAGAAGATGATGAGGATGATGACGAGGACGACGACGAGGCCGATGGCGTTGATGATGATGACGATGGTAACACAACGGATGAGCATCTGGCGCTGCCTTCCAATACCACCAAACAGCAGCCGAGACGCCTCAACTTTGACTACACGCGCACAGACAGCTCCAAGCTGAACGGCAATGGGAAACCGACGCCGACGCCGACGACGCAGCAGCATCGGCAAAAGCCAAAGGGTCAGCAGGCGGTGCTGGTCGTGCACAGCTCAGAGGATGAGGATGAGGACGCTGAGGCTGATGTCGACAGGGATGAGGATGTGGATGACGATGTGGAGGAGGATGAGGATGAGGAGGAGGAGGAGGAGGGCGTGGGTGAAGCAATGACCATTGATGATATTATTGAAGAAGATGATGGGGAGGATGATGACGATGTGGTTGGTGTCGATGGTGCTGTTGTTGAGGATGATGATGATGATGTTGAGGAAGATATGGACGAGGATGACGTCGACGACGACGACGAAGACGATGACGATGACGACGACGACGAGAATGTTGGCAATGCTGCTGCTGGTCGTCGCCCTGGCGTCGCCAGTGGCAGTGGCAGCGGCAGCGGCAGTCGCATCGGCGCGTCTGATGGTGTGGCTGCTGATGCCGATGGCGGTACATCATCATCTGAGAGCGAGTCAACAACAACAACAACATCGCATTCAATTGGTGAGCGGCGTAAAAAAACAGTAGTTAAATCAGCGGCACATGGCGCTGCCGCTGATCAGTCTAATTCCAGCTATACGTGTGATCTATGTCAACTTTGTTTCGATTCTCAGGAGCTACTGCAGTCACATATTAAAAGCCATTTTCTGAATGGGCCCTCGGCGGGCAGCGGCAGCGGCAGCGGTAGCGGAGGTGGCAGCAGAAGCGCCAGCCTCGGCAGCGCCAGCGCTAGCGGCAGCAGAAGCCACAATAATAATAATAACATCGACAGCAGCAGCAGCGGCAGCGGCGTCAGCAGCAGCAACAACAAAACCAAAACCAAAAAGTCCGGCTTGGATGCAATCAAAAGTGGCAGCGCTGCAACAACAAGAACAACAAAAACAGTTGCAGCTGAAGCAGCTGCAACAACAGCAGCAGCGGACGCTGCAACCAGCTTGAACTGAGCTTGAAAAAAATGTACAAAAGCAAAAACAAAACCACACACCGCACACATCCACAACGCATTCCATTGCCAAACACACGCACACATCCACACATCCTCACACTCGACACACACACACACGTACACACGCTCACGCATATGTATAAAAAATAGAGAACTGTATGTGTATGCGTGTGTGTGCAACACAATTTTTTTTCTTGCTGCTAATTGCAGTGTTGGTAAACTTCTACCGCATATTAACTGCAAAAACAGACACACACACACACATACACACAAACAGACATATTAAGCTTACATATTTGATATAACATGAATACATATATCCGTACATACATATATATATATATATAATATACTTTTTTTTTTACATGTTAAATTAGTTGGTATCACAGACAACAGACAGGCGCGGCAGTGTCTCCAGTTTTGAGTTTTAGTTAGTTAAGCGATATATATATATATATATAGAAATATAAATATGTATATATACGTGCATACGTATATAGAATGAATACAAATATTTAAGAGGTTAATGAAAAATTAGAATTGTCAAGCGAAAAATTACGACGATGACGACGCACCAAAGCAACCGCAAACTGTAGAAGGCAAAAAAAGCAACACAAAAAAAAGCAAACAAAAGCTAACATTCGTTTTAGTTGTTAACGTACTTTTATTTTATATTATTATATTTTATTTCATTGCTTTTTTTTTTTTATTTGCTGTTTTTAGATTTTGCACTTTGCCTGCCGTTCGGTTTAAAAAACCGCTCTTCAGTTTTATATTTTCTCTTTTTTTTTTTTTTTATAAGTGTATATATTTTATTACATTTTAGTGCGTTGCTCCAATTTTGAAATTATCTCAAGGCATTTCCAAGTTTACAAATTAATTTAACGTCTGTTGGGACAGTAAATCGTTAACTCTTTCGACTCGCATAGTTTAAGTTACAAAACATAATAGTCTTACACACACATGTAAGCATATTTAATTTCTCACACACACACACACACACATACACACACGAACACCCTCACCTACGAGCACCCACACCCATGCACACCAGACACGCATTGGGAATATTATCATTTTTTAATATTTATTTCAAATGTACTTGAGACTCGATACGAATTCACTTAATCAATATAATTTCGTTTAATTTTTTTCAACATAAAACCAGTTTAGAAAGAAATGAATAATTAGTTTTGCAGGCTTACAAATCAAGAACAAGAAAAACGGCACAGATCGGTCGGATATATCCATCCAAGTCTGACAAATTTTTTAAATTAAAAGTTAATTTTTGCCATACACGCAGCATTAGCACTTTGCCCCATTTAAACATTTAGTATGTAATGTGTATATTAACTATTTATATTTAATGATGCATTTCACAAATAATTCGTTTCATGCTTCATTATTCAAATAAATCATATTCGTATGTATGTGTATACACACTCGTAGATAAACAAAACACAAAAAAAAAGAAGAAGAAAGAAAAAAAATAGTGCATACTGCATATGTTAATTACGCTTACGAATTAATTAATTATTGCGATTGCAAACACTTACCTTTTACTTGTAAAATTAATTTAAGGTTTATGTATGTAATTGGAAGCTAGTTTAAAACCAGATACAAATAAAAAGAATCGTGAATGAAACAAATGCATCTGCATTTGCCGAATTGAATACCTTGAACATTTTGAATTTCTGTTCCAACATAAAAAAAAAAAATTGCTGCGCGCCAAGTTCCGATAACAGCTTTGGCAGCGACACGCTATCCATAAATGTATCGATGTTCATTCTAACTCGTCGCTAGTCGCAAAGATAACTGTAATGTTAAGTATTTGCTTGGCTCTTGAGATCGTGCTTATTGTGTTGGTAGGGTTTGCACGAACCCATGCACGGTCTGTTCCCATCATTATCCAACACTGCTGCAAGCTTTTCCCATGCTCGACTTGCTCGTAACAGACAATTCGATTGAAAGAATAAAAAGAATTTCTTTGTTTAAATCAATTTGTATTTGCACAATTTTAATAAAATATCAATGCATATTTATAAATATTTCTATAGCGTCTGCTTTAAACGGTTGACATACAAAACATACATATGTGTTAATGCCAAATTGCGGCACAGGCACTCATAGTCTAAGGTTTAATTGTTTAATTATTTTCAATGCAATTATGTTGGGAAACTTTTCTAATTTTGTTTGGATGGGGCAATAGTAGTATTATAGTAGTCGCGTATGTTATCAGATGCATTACAACACGAATAATTAACAAACATTACATATAATTAAAAGTGCAAAAACAAAAAAAAAACGATTACAAAATGGTAACAAGAAGCACAGCCAACGATGCCGTACAGTGTCATAAATACTATAAGAAACTAATTGTGTGTATTCTGTTACAAAGACATACATAGATAATTATGCTTAAACAAGATATTATAGCTAAATAATGGTGCATGGGCGAGAGGAGTTTTTGCCAAAAATACTATCAAACCGCATCCGTTGCTTCTAGGAGTACTGCGTATGCGGATTAACGTTTATCATCTCCATGTTGCTGCTATAGATTCCAGAAAGGCGAGACAAAGTAAAAAACAATAGATTACTTATATTTTCAAAATGATTGCAATCGTAACTGGCACTGATAAGCTGACGGAAATATGGTTATACTTATCGCGCACCGACAGCTTGTTAACTTTGACAGCCATTTTGACAATTTTTTATTTGATGGGACTTGAGAGGCATGAGCTTCAAATCAACTCAATGCTATGATGAAGGCGGGAAATGGAAAGTGTAGAATATATGTAGTTGTGAATTAACAATGTTAATGCGATTTGTGTGTGGCTGTGAGTCGGATTCAAAACGAAAGAGAAGCCTTAACGTTAACTTACCTGCGGCTGCAGCGCATATGAATGAAGAGAAGCGCTAGTCCAAGTATTAAACAGATGCCACCAACAACAATATAGGCAATGCCCAGGAATGGATTTTTACCGCCCAGCACTGATGTTGTCGATAGAATCATACGCTTGGTGCCATCAAACGATACCACGGGATATTCTACAAAATAAATTACATGATTAATATCATATAATATATCCTATATATAGAGATTCATGCAACACTTACTATAATCTACGTCCAACGTGTATTCGCCGGCTTTAAGGCCTCTCGTAAAGCTATTATTTGTTTGATCCAAGCGACGGTATAGCTTGCGAAAACTGGGCAAGGCAGCAGTGCGCATCCACACGATTAAATCCTCGTTCTGGAAACCATTGTTAGCGACATTTGTTAAATCCAATTCATCGAGTTCTTTTTGCCAGAATATGGGCTTTTCATATGGCTTTAAAGCTTCTGACAGGTTGCCCGGGGGATTACGGAACTTGACGCGCTTGTCCGATGGCCATGCAATGCCCGTATTTAGTAATTTGATATTCGAGCTGCCTTGGCTCAGTGTCAGTGTATCTTGAAATAAAAGACACGACTAAATACATAAGGTGAACAAACAGCGAAAGGTGCAGCATAAGATACCATTAAATAGGGAATTGGCAATGGCCCCGCAAGGCGCAATGGGTTTCCCATTATCTGCATAGGCAAATGGGGTGCAGTCTGAACTTGGCGTTAAGGACAAGCGACCCAACAGCTGTTCATCGTCTCGCGATTTCACATATCGTCGATGATTCTGATAGTAATTGGTTAGGCCATAGTACATGTAAACGTCGCCCTGTTGCGTAAGGAGTTAGAGTATTTAGAATGCGTTATGCAGTTGAATCGAAGTTGAATCGGTTCTCATTGAATACTTGCAATAAAGTCTTCAGTCAGATTAAAGTTAATCTTGCAAAAGCACTGGCCGCCCGTTGTGTCCTCCAGATAATCGGCGCAGGTCCTATTACTGTCGACCTGCATGCACCTAGTGTAGTCAATGATGAGCTCATTGGATGAATTGGATAGGTACAGCAGCACCACGCCAATGGGAATGAATAGGACACCAATGACAAAGAAGGTGGGCAGAACCGTTCGTGCGGTCAGCACGGGCTGCCAGGCGGGCAGGCGTTGTTGCTTAAAAGCTGAATCTGTTGGTAAAATTAAAAATGACTGTGATTCATGTTTTGTGGGTGGGCGTGTTGTGTGCGTTTGGTGGGTTGTTAAAGGCTCGCCTTTAAAAATCGATCACACTTGTAATTGGCACTCGGTTCAGTATTAGTCACTCTTTGGTCTCTTATCACAAATACACACACAAACGCACAACACATTTGTAAGGTTGGGTGTCCAAGGTGTCCCGTCAACAACTTGTTACTTGAGTGTGGGTGCTTGTATATAAAATCAACTCAATTTTCACCTGAAGGTCGTTTCGACTTTGGGGCTGCGTTTTCTTCATTTCCCACATTTTGCGTCGACATGGCGCTTTATACACGGTACTGACGACCACCAATGCGACAAAAATTTCAGATAACCAACTTGAAAATTAACCAGTCGTCGCAAATTCGCTCACGCAAATACACAAATAATACAAGAAATTTCGCGTTTTAGAGATGCTTATCGATTAACATATATCGATGAGCAAAAAAGAAAACAATGCAATTTAGTGTAAATATTAGCACTGGCATATTAATAAATTATAATGGGCAATAATTATTAACATGGCAAACATGTTTCAACCAAAGTGAAGAAATCATTAAAAGAAACTTTTAACTGCCCTTAAACATATCCAACTGAACTACTAAGTGTAAATACCCAATTTGGGCTTGATATCGATTCATCGGCATATCACGTTTTCGTTTGAAAAAGTTGGCTGTGGAAAATAATTTTTTATTTATTTTTTATATGTTTAAATTCAATGTAAATGCAAATTTTATTTATTACTATTAATTTTTTTGGCCAAAATCAATTATGTACCAATTAGCTGACTAGCCAGTGTACTTTCCAGCACTGCAAATAACATCGCATGCATTCATATATCGGAATCGTTGGTGTATATGCACATGCCACCCATACCTAGCGGCAGCGGCGTTTTCGTTGTGTCAAAACAACAAAGCATAGGCAACAAAAAACGAATCAAGAACAAGAAGGAAAAATAAAAAGACGACGAACGTGAAGCCAACAACGAAATTCAAACGCATTTATTAATTTGCGCTGTACTGATACGCATATGCGGCAAACGCAACATACAACTTTTGCTCAGGGATCACTACTAAATACTGTGTTCAAAAAACCAAAAAAAAAAAAACCATTGTGATCTGATAAACAACAGAAACGAACGCCGCCACCGCGATGAAAATCACCGTCACCACCACCGATGATAAACTTTTCTTTCTAGATGTTGCCGAAGATTTAGAACTGGAGAACCTAAAGGCACTCTGTGCCATGGAAATTGGCACTGAGGTTAGCCAAATTATGGTGCTTTTTAATGGCCGCGAGCTGACCAATGACAAGCAATCGCTTAAGCAGTTCGGTGTGCGCGACGGCGATTGCATTGTGCTGGAGCGCCGTAGGAGCAATCCCAATCGTACCGGTGAGTTACTAACTCCACAATTCCAATCTCAACAAGATGCGCGCGCGTTGTTTGAACTGTTTAAACTAGGTCATTGCACGCGTTCTAGGCCGCTGCTCCTGGTCAGCAGTGCATTATTGATACGCCTGCGTGTGTGTTTCTGTGTGTATATGTGTGCGTGTGTGTATATTTGTGCGTGTGTGTTTCTGTGTGTACGCTGCTTTTGGAAAATAAAAGTTTTTAATTTAAAAATAAATATGTGTTTCTTTACACATTGCTCAAGCTATACTAAAAATGTATTGTTGAGCTTTTTTTGCACATTCCAAATTTGAAAGACAAAAAAATGCAAACAGCACAGCACAGTAAATTGAACCTCGCACACACTTATACAGCGTTACACACAGACTGGCACACAAACACGCATGCACGGACATGCATGCGCACATGTAAATGTTGATCTGATTTTGATAATTCACCTGCAATGCTATTATCGATACGCATACACACACATATAGCCTATCCAATTCACACACAGCTGCAGACTTTTTCAGTGTGACCCCATGCGCGTTTGGCCTTGCCTAACATGCGTACATACATATGCATGTGTGTATGTTTTGTACACATGGGGTCGTTCATTGTCCGAATGCTTCAGTTTTTTTTTTGCGCGTGGGCGCGCGCAATTTGCTTTCATTTTGAATTTACTGTCGCTGTTTTTTTTTTTTTTTTTTTTGATGTTTTAGCCTGCACCGAGGTGTAGGCGTTATTTGGATGCGCATTTACGCATACAACAGCCACATACATATACATACAAATAGATATGTGGATAATGCATATACGTCAAATTGATTAGCCTAATTCATACATTCCTGTAGTTTCTACCTTTCCCTCCCACTCCGCCATATAGCATGGTTTTTTATTTTTATTTTGGAATGTTTCGATTCCAGTGGTAAATAAAATTGAAATATTTATTTTTCATATAAAACAAAGAAAAATTGTTCGAAAATAATATAAACAAAACATTTATCGTCGAAGATTATATTGTATTTACACATACATAGATATACTCATATATTAATCGCCATTTTCATTTGCAACTGATTCTTATAATTCTTATGGCTCCGATATTTATATTTCTGCTAGAGTTGATTCATATTTTGTATAGACATATTAAAGTTTATTTTATTTTTTGGATACCTTTCCCGGTTCTCCCTAAAATAACTAATTTTAAGATCTTTGGCATATACAGTTTTAAAGCTCTAAAAATTGCATTAGAATCGAATCCTCCAGATATTTCTGTTAAGTCTAAGCGAAGAATTACTATTTTGATTTGGCTTAAGTTAGTAAAAGTGCAATTATTCAAATTCGATTTGATGTTTGTGAAAGGAGCTGCAATTTCAAATGTTGCCAACTATTTTTCAGCTGGCAACAATCCATCGATAAGTCATCTGGATTTTAGCAGCATTGCTGTGCCCGGAACGAGCACAACAGGCGGCAGTCCGCCCGCACAGAATGCCGCTGCCGGCACGCCCGGGCCCGTCAATATGCAGCAGCAGTTGCAGCAGCAGCTGCAACAGCATCTGGAGCAGCAGCAGCAGCAGCAGCAGCAAATCACCGATGTGCCCATGACAGATGAGTTCAATGTGAACTTTGATGATGATCCGGCGATAGTGCGTCAAATGTTCCTGAATAGTCCGGAAACGCTGGCACTGCTGCGTCAATATAATACGCGTCTGGCCGAGGCACTCGACTCGGGCGATTCGGAGACATTTGCGAGAGTTCTGCGGGAGCATATTGCGGAGCGGAAGCGTCGCAACGAGCAGCGCATGCGGATGCTCAATGCGGATCCGTTCGACGAGGAGACGCAGCGGCTCATTGCCGAGGAGATCAAGCAGAAGAACATCCAGGACAACATGGCAGCGGCCATTGAATACAATCCCGAAATCTTTGGCACTGTCACCATGCTGTGAGTATACCCTATGATATATCAAATGTAATCCCAAACAAATCTCGATTCTATCGATCACAGTTACATCAACTGCAAGGTGAACGGCGTGCCGGTCAAGGCCTTCGTCGACTCTGGTGCACAGACGACAATCATGAGCAAGGATTGCGCGGAACGCTGCCATGTCAATCGTCTCATTGATACTCGGTGGAACGGCGTCGCCAAAGGCGTCGGCACACAGCCCATACTGGGCCGCATACACATGGTCCAGCTTCAGATTGAGAACGACCATTTGACGTCCAGTTTTACAGTGTTGGGCCAACAGCCCATGGACATGCTATTGGGCCTGGACATGCTCAAGCGTCATCAGGTGAGTTATATTGAGTAAAAGATATCGTAAAACTATAATGTGCCTAGTTAAGCTTTAGCTCTTCATGTTAAAACCTCATGTTGTATTACAAACCACATTTAAGATGGAAAATAATGCTGTCTCTCTATATAACTGTCTCGCTCTTGTCGATTTCAGTGCCTTATCGACTTGCAGCGCAATTTGCTGATCATTGGCACCACAGGCACCTCAACACCATTTTTACCGGAAAGCGAGCTGCCACCCTGTGCCCGGCTCACAGGCAATCCAGAGGATAACGAACAGCAGGCCATTGCCCAGGCAATCGAGCAGAGCAAGCGCGAAGGTGGCGGAGCCAGCACCAGCAGCGCCACAGCAGCAGCTGCCGCCAGCTTCGATATAAGCAATATTAATTCGGTACAGCCGTTGGATCGTTTCACGGAACAGGATGTCAACGATTTGATGCAGCTGGGCTATCCGCGGGGCGATGTGCTCACCGTGCTGAGGCTCTGCAATGGCAATAAGGCGGTCGCCAGCTCAATGCTGCTCGGCCGGAATGCGGCCGCCGGTGGTGGTGGACTTAGCTGAACGCTGGCTGCATGCCGTCCAGCTACTGCACCTCCTCTACTGCTCTGGGATCAATCATAACCTAATTGCAATATTAGAACCACCACCACCACAACAGCAACAGCATCAGCCACAACAGCAACAACAGCAACAACAACAATCACAACGAACTCAAAAGCAATATCAACACAATAACGATTCCGATATAATTTAACATATTTTTGCTATTTGAATTTAGAGCAATTTTTGTCAGACTAAAATCATTTTTATATATAAACTTAAACGTGTCTTTGTACAATAGCTAATTAATCGAGAGATTGAGAAAACTCATATGCTTACTCTTTTTCTAGCACTAAAATTCGACTTTCGACTTTTATCTGTCTGGGAATGCAACCGGATTGCAAATACAACGAATAAATAAATAATTTGAAGCATATTGCAAACTATGCCTGACTATATTAAATACGCACTATATATTATACAAATTTGAGCTAGTATTAAGACTATAACCATATAAATAATGTGAGAGAAGTGAATTGGTTAAATAAAATGAGAATTGTTTTGGATTGGAATGGAATGAAAAGGCTGCGCTCTCAATTGTAATCATATTTCATCAAATGCAACTTTCTTTTAAAATTTAAATAGATCTGCCCATAATTTATTGGCGAGGCATACGGATTTTTGGCCAATCATCAAATATGCTTGATAAAGATTATTAAATCATTCGAAATATTGCAATCCGAACTTGATACTAGAAAAAATTTAAAAACTGACTGAAGGCAGCAGTTTTTTTTTTGTGGTTGTTGGACAATTTCTTTTAGATTTTATTTATGTATTATTTATAAATGTATAAACCATAGCATGTACATATGTATATATCTACACATATTCTAGTTAAAGTCTCTGGCGCCGGCGATGATTTGGAAAAAGTAACAGTCACCGGCTTTAATGAATGCACCTGCTTCGGGGGTTTGTGTTCTATTGTTTTTTTCATCTCTCAGGTGTATATGCCCACACACATACACACACACACACACCACACTCACATACACACGCACGCACGCGTGTTCATACAGTCCATATATATATAAATATAAATATATTATACATATATGTATAATGTAAATAATTAATTAATTCTGCTCTTGTTGTTCTGCTGGGTGTTGTTGCTTTAGGTCGAATTGGTGTGTTTTTTTTGTATATCATCTACTCTTCATCATCGTCTTCGTCGTCGTCGTCCTCGTTGGCACGCAGTGTAGAGCTTTTGTGATTGAACTCCTTCTCGGGATCAAACTGCATACCCTCCTGATCGGCAGCATCTTCTTCGTCATCGTCGCCAGCCACTTGAGCGTTCTCAGCCTCGGCGCGCTCCAGACGACGCGCCAGATCCGCCTCGTCAATAGCCGTAACAAGCTTGGGCGCCATTATTACCTTGAACTCGCCCTCGAATTCAATTATCTTGGCGCGTATGCTCTCAATGGCCACCTCCAGTGCCTTGAGTCCGTCTGTCTTCTTTGTGGTGGCTGTGGTCATCACATAGCTAAAGGGAAAGTAATCAATGGGTGAGCATTTAGTTCAATTCAAAGTTGACTTACAGCGGTGGTGCTATCAGATTGATGCGTATGGGCAGCTCCTCTGTGCTCAGCTCGAGGCCTTTGCTGAGCGATGCCTTGACTGCATCGATGCCCTCATAGCCATAGCACGAGCACTCGATATCGGCGCGTATTTTGACTGTGGGCGAGACTAGTTTGCGTTTGATGTTGCTCAGCAGCACCTCCTTGGTCTCCGCATCCAGGTTGCATTCATCGAAAACGGATGGATCGGTTACCGATTGCTTGAAAATGTCATAGGCCACCGTTTTGCTGTTGTATTTCTTTTCAAAATACCAGGCGGTCTTCTGGTAGAGCTCCTCCAGCTTCTCACTGCTGTCGTAGCCCAAAATGTCAGCCACATGGCGCAACAGAGAGTTAATTGCCTTCGCTTTGGCAAATCTCTCGGTACACTTCTCCACATCCTCGGGCGAAACACGACGTTTGGATAGATCAATATAGCCCTTCTCCTTATCCACACGTATGACAACAACTGGCTCTGTTTTGCCCACGCGTATCAATTTGTTAATGGAGCGTATGCGACGACGAGACAGCTCTGAGAGCAAGATCATGCCCTCAATGTTGTTGTACTCCAGCAAATGGACGTAAGCGCCCATTTCGGCTATGGAGAGCACATTAACCATGACGACATCTTCGATCTCCGGATATTTTTCATAGTAGAAGCGTGACGTTAGAGCCATTTTGCTGCTTTTGAGTACAAACTGTATTCAGGTTGATTATATGCGCAAACTGAAGAGAAAATGCCAACAAAATTGCAGCAAAAACGTGTACAATTCGGCCGAAACAAGGCGTAAGAAGAAGCAACCGAGCGGTAACAGTGTTGTTTAACGACAAATTGGGCGAGTTTCAAGCGGCGAATTTGCATCGATATATCGATAGATATTATTCTGTCATTCTGTTAGTAAGACAAGAAAACAGATTTAATTGACTTACATTAAATGCGCCAATCTTATTATTCAAATTGCAATATCCGTCATTATATAATTCAGATGAAGGTTTTTAATGCAGGCCAACGATATTGTCATCCCGTGGTATTTAGTGTTGAGCAATGCAGGTGGTACTTTCGGCGAATTGGTAAGTGTTGCTTGTTAATGCACCTGGGTGTGATTTTTAATCGAAAGAATTGTATTTAACTGCAGCAACTGCAAAAAATAAATGCAATTTTATTTAAATATTTTTCAGCTAAACTTCAAGTGTGATAACGGTTTCAACTAGTGGGTGTTTTCCTTAGCGCCGCTAGCATTTGGTGTGTACACACTGGAGCGCGTGCACACGGCGACAATCTTGGTAGTCAGTCTGCGGATTGCAGCGAATTCGCTCATTTGAAAAAAATAAAACATGGCTGGAAGAGGTGGTTATGAACACGCTAGGTAAATATTATTAAATAATTCAAAAACAGTGCTAGCCAGCAAGCCGAAATTGTGTACAAAAGGTGCAAGTGCGTTCGCCGTGTGTGCCCCAGCAAGTGCAAAAGTGCTCCAATGTATAATAATGCACGCGGTTTAAGCAAAAGTCAAGCAACACGCACACACACACACGCACACGAAACACAAACACAGTTACGCACACACACACCCTGAAAATGTACATGCATACATACGTGCGTACGGCAGTGTGTGTACGTGTGTGCTCGCAAGTGTGCGTGTTTTTTTTCTTTTTTCTTCCACATTTCTTTTTCTTTGCTATTTTTTTTCGGACGATTTGAGCGCTGTCGCCCGTTGGCCGACGCCGCTGCCGACGCTGACGTCGGCGGTACGCGATTTGCCTTTGGATTTAACTGCTAAAGTAGCAGCAGCGCCAGCGCCGCCTTCGATAGTTATGGGCGGCTTTAAATAGACATCCAGATTTATGGGCGAATTTCTGCACAGTTTTTGCCGCAAAATAATTAAAAGCGCGCGCGTTTTTGTTTTTCTTTCTTTTTTCTTTTTTTCTTTTTCGGTTTGTGCTTTTTGTTTTTACTGCAGTATGTTGTCTGCCTTTTATTTACAAAACGCTGCGCTCCGGTTTGTTATTGGTGATGTTTGCTTGTAATTCGAGCGGCAACTATTTTTGTTTTATTCGAATGCGTTCGGTTCGGCTCCGGTTCGGTCACACGTGCGTTGACGTCGCAGCCGGGCCGGCGCGTGCTGCTGCTGCTGCTGTTCGTTGTTGTTGTTGTTGTTTTCAGTTGTCGGTTGTAGTTTGCCCACTAACTGCTATTTTCTTGTTTGTTTTTATTTATTTAAATTGTATTATTATTTTTATTTTAGAGGTGGCTTTGGAGGCGAACGGCATGTGAAGCAAATGCCAACGGAACCGCCATTTATTGCGTACGTGGGCAACTTGCCGCAGGGTCTCGTCCAGGGAGATGTTATGAAAATATTCAATGACTTCGAGGTGAAAAACGTGCGACTGGTCAAGGATCGCGAAACGGATATGTTTAAGGGCTTCTGTTATGTGGAGTTTGAGACGCTGGAAAATTTGGAACGCGCCCTCGAATGTGATGGTCGAATAAAATTGGATGATCTGTCGGCTCCGCTGCGGATAGACATTGCCGATCGCAGGAAAAATGAACGGTAAGTCGACCATCTTATATTTGATAATAGCTTTTCGCCTAATCTCGTTCTTGTTGCTTTGTATAGCCCTGGTGGCGGCATTGGCGGCGGCGGCGGCGGCGGCAATGGCGGCGGCATGAGCCGCGATGGCGGACGAGATGGCTTCCAGAAACGGGGACCACCACGTCAGGGCGGCAGCAGTCAATCGTATAGCCGAGGCGGTCCTGGCACCGGCGGCGGTCGCGAGGCCGGCGGCGGCTCTGGTAATCGTGGCGATAGTAGAGGTTCGTACAATGATAATTATGGTGGTCACAGTGATAGAAGTCGTGGCGGCGCCAGCTCCGGCATGAATAGAGGATACAATGGTAAAGCATTTATTATCTGCCACGCAAGTGCAACCTACTACAACCTCCAACCAAATACGTAGATGCATATTCGTAGTCCTCAACAACAACAAAAAAAAAACCAACCAAATTGTAGTTCGCCAAATTCGCATGGACAACAAAAGAAAACCACATACGCGCGACCTTAAAGCGGCCAGCATCTGCATATATATATATAAATATATTGACCCACCAGTTTCGAACTCTTATATATACATACATATATTCCTTTGACTCTATCATGCACTCTTTGTTTGCCTAGTCATAATATTAAGCCCTTAACTTCTACCCGTACCCTCTTTCTGGCTGTTCCAAATTTTCAATTTCAATACAAAATTTCGCTTTTGCTTTGCCTTTGCGCTGGAATACGAATTTAAAACCGGAACAGCAGACCATATAGTTTCTGGCATTATTTTCTCTTATTCACAGTTTTTGTATTTTTCCATTTATATTTTACTTTTGGACATTGTTCGACATTTTCTCCTCTAAATTGGTTGTATTTAGTTTGTTTCTGTTCTATCCACGCCGGAGCAGCTATTTGCCTTTAAATTTAATTGTATTTAGTTGTGCCTAAAACCTATAAAATTTATTTTAATTTATTATCTACACATTTACGCACCACACCTATACATGCCTAGATAATATTCAGGTTTATTTAAGATACAAATTGATTTCGAATGCAATTGTAGCACGCTTCAAATAATTGAATATGATTAATATTATCTATAAGTAAAACCGGGCTCCGCATGCTGCTTGATACCACGGCTCGATTCGTAGTTTAATACTAGGCAGTAGACAGCCCGTATCACTAAATTGCTGCCAAATATATATAAATGTATATATATGTACATATATATTTACCGTATGCACGTTTTTGCAGATCGCCCGGCAAATCGCGGCCGTTATGGTAATTTTAACAATGACGAGCGCTTCGATCGCAATCAGGATCGGGATCGGGATCGTGGCCAACGCGAGGGCAGCTATGGCAACCAGTCGCGCGATGGCGATCGGTATAACAACTTTAGCCGGCATCGTGACCGCGAGCGCACCCACTATAATCCCAACCAGCAGCAGGAACGTCCCAGCGGCGTTGCATTGGGCGCCATTGGTAACAATTCGATGAGGCAAGATTCGAATATGACTGCTAATAATTTGGATGTTGTTGCAGATGATACGGAGCGGCCACGCCTCCAGCTAAAGCCGCGAACTATTGCGGCGCCCATTAACGCGGTGGCTGAAACCAAACAATCAGCCTCCATATTCGGCAATGCCAAGCCGCGCGAGGAAAAGCTCAAGGAGCTACAACAGAATATCAATCACAATGGCGATAACTAGGCGGCTCTGGGTATCTTTACTATGCCTATAATGATATTTAAACAAACAAAACAGCAAAATAACAATACAAACAACAAACAGAGCTAAGAATGAGAATGATAGGGGCGTATATCATTTGCGTGAAAGAGGCGGAATGCATATATATGAAGAGTCGAGCGGATGAAATGGAAGCAAATGCAAAAACAATACAAAAATATAATTAATAACTACGCTATATACCTATTATATAAAAACGCTATGTACTATGCATACATAATACACAAAAAAAACATATGGCTGGCCCTCCCCCCGTCAGCCGCAGCAACAAAGCAACTTAACAAGAAAACAAACCAACAAACAAACAAACAAACAATGCGAAATAACTTTCTGATCACATGAGTTTGCTGGATATTGGATATTGGAGCTAAAGGAACAATAACATCGGCGACAACAATAACAATTTCAACGACAACACCAACACCAACAACAACAACAACTTTAACAACTTCAACGACAACACCAACAACAACACCATTAACAATAACAGAAATAACAACAATGGAAAGTCTTTAAATGTTAGTCTGTAAGCAGCGGTAAAGTTAGAGCCGTGCATATAGCTATACCGAATACGTATAGTCCATATATGCGCGCTGCTATTTGTTAGTTAAGTAATGCATATTGTAAACCAACAAAACAAAAACAAAACAAAAACAAAAAAGAAAAAACAAAAAACAATTACGTTCTTACCATTTAAGCAAAAAAAAAACAAAACAAAAAACAGCAAAAAACTGAGAAAAAAACGACAAAAAAAAAACAAACAAACTAAAATTTGACAAGCGTTCAGCGTTAGCAAGCAGGCAGGCAGTTTATACAATTTATATAGCAAAAATACAAGAAAACACTAAAAAAACGAAAAATACTTAACAAGAAAAACAACAAAAAAAATCAAAAAAACAAAAATGAAAAAAAACGAACCGCAGTGAAAATATAAAACACCAACTACGTACGTATTAAAATAACAAAAACAACAGCAAAAACAAACAACAAATTTATATATATATATTAAACATCAATTCACACACAGACTATATATATATATACATATGTATATATATGTATATATATATATATGAACTATGTAATCCAAGCAAACAGTTTAACTAAGTCGCGACCAAAATTCTCTTCTCTCTCTCTCTCTCTTGTTTGTAAAATTTTTCTATATCATTTTTTAAATTAAACTTTTTGTTAATCAATTTTGTAATAATTTGTTGTCGGCTGCAATTGGCCCCGTTTATATGCTCGACTGACAGACAGACAGACAGACAGAGGGAGGGACACGCCGGCGGCATTGATTTAAAAGCAAAATTTTCTTCCTTGTAGATAATTGAAATACGCAGGGCAAACACACATATATATGTATATTAAGCGAAAGATATCAATTAATTATATAACTATATATAAATATATCTATTTTTTTTTTTTAACTTTGGCGACTAGCGACAACGGCGACGGCCGATTTTGAATACGTTTACAAATTATGAACTCAATTAAATGTTTTTGCTTTTTTTTTTTAATTCTCTTTAATAATTTTATTATTATTTTTTTTGTGTCAATTTTTTTTTTTTCAAATAAAGCCTAAATCATTTAAATAAGAACATATTGTGAGCGTTCTTTTTTCAAAATGCTGCCAACATTTTTCAAGTCGTTTTCAATCAAAAGCATATTAAACGACATATTTCTCTATTGTTGGAGCATTACAGAACATTTAGACTGAGAGTTAATAACAATAATCCATTTGCCGCACAATTCAATTTTCGCGTAGCCAAAACAGAAAAATTATAACTTAATAGACAATTGTTTTAACTAAAGCAAATAATCGTAATAGTCCGTGCGAGATCTGTTTAGGGTCCTTAAAGTGTTGCCGGCGTTATTTCGATGCCTATTACAAATATTAAACAAATTGAATGTACATTTTCTTCATTTTCTTTTTTGTTAAAACAAATTTTGTATCATAAAACCTAAAACGAAGAAAACTTAGAGGAAAACCATAAAAAAAAAAACATAAATAAAAACAAAGAAAATGCGATTCACAAGCAGTTCGCTAAACGAAAAAAGAACGTAAACTTTTTATAATTTTAGCTCTAATATTAAACGAAAGTCAAAGATTTACCTACTAATAAAGCGTAGACAAAACAAGTAGCAGCGGGCAATTAAGCAAAAAGTGAAGTAATGAAAAGTAATATTTGTATTTAATTACCATTTAAAGTCCCATCCAGAACGCAAGCAACGTAAAGTTTAAATCTATTTAAATTAACAATAAAAAAAAAAAAAAAAAAAGCAAATATATATATACATATATATACATATATACCTAACTATCCGAAGTAAGAACTTTGATATGCATTTTAAATGACGCCCAGTACGAAAATCGATGGAAAATTTAAGCGAAAAGAAAAGAAAAACTAAAAACTCAAAAAAAAAAACAAACTGAAAACAGAAAAATAAACAAAAAACAAGAAGAATTTATACAATGCAAAAAGTAGCCGTTAAATTATGTCATAATATATATATACATATATATATATATATATGTATGTATATGAGAATACATGTATATGTATATACATATATCTATAAATATTTAATAACTAATGACAAATTTAGCGCAGAGAATTAAGCTATATTCTTCGCATGCAATACAAAAAGTTTAGCAATTAATAATCTTAACATGGCAACAATTTCTATAAATTATTGAATTAGCAAAACGAATTAAAACTCGAAACTAAAAATAGTAAACAGCAATAACAAATTTAAATACTGAATAGTCTCATAATCCAATTCTAAATCGAAATCCGAACAAGGCATTCATCAACTAAATGCTGAGAGAGGATCAGTTAACAAACAAAAAGCAACAATTCAAGCATTACATAATTTAAAAAACTCTTAACAAAATATATATACATTATATATATATATATATATTTTTTGTTGTTTGAACATTTTGTACGATATATATATATACATACATATATATAAACAAAGCCGTGTTTTTAATTTTCTTGTCCTAACCAAATGGGTTGCGACCCCCTCCCATCCTTCCCCTTCCCCCCTCTGGACTTTGCTCGTCGCCCGTCAAACAGGATGAATTATCGCCAGTGTTGGAGCTGTTCACACGAAATCGATTACAAATTGATCTATCGGCCTTTTTCAATTTCGTACATTTTTGCCAAGCTAAAGTCTGCGAAAGGTAAATGCCTGGAATAATTGTTCTCAGAATTGAGAGCAAATTTAATTGAATTGAAATTTATTAAATTTCAGTTGCCGCATTCGGGACATGGCCAAAAATCGTATGGAACACTGCTTGAGTGTTTTTTTGGTCTCAAGTGAGAAGGGGCGGCGGTAAGTGGCGGAGCCGCAGTAGTTAGCCGCTATTTAAATTTGTTTTTAGGTCGTGATTCGCGTGACTAAGTGATTACGTCACGCGCTCATCACAAGCAGTAAGCCCATACATACAGCCATATACATATGTACTTACATACATAAATACCTACTATATACATATATGTATATACATTTATTTATGTACATAAAAGTGCAACAACATATTGCGAATGTCTTGTGGCTTGTATGTACATATTTGCCTGTACGCGTTGGTCAGTCGCCTTTTTTAAATGGGGCCAATTGGAATGTTAGCCAAGCCCGCACTCACACACACACACACATACACTTACACACAGGACAGTTGGCAACTCTGGAAGGTGTTTGGCGCGTCGCTGTCTCCGCCGCTGCATGATGTCATCGGTGCAGCACAGGCTGCCAATTACGACACACTTACCAACACACACACTTACGCACTGACATACATGCGTAAGGGATAAGCGCGTGCATTACGCATATACGTATGTTTGTATGTATAGGGCTATGCATATATACATACATACATATGAGCAGAGATGTTAAACAAAAAAAATAAATGGCGGTTGTCTGTGTGTGTGTGAACGCGTGTGGGTGTGCTATGTGTGATATATTTCGTTTTGGCTTTTTGATGAATTTTTCAGCACTTGTCAGTTTTTTTGTTGTTGTTGATGTTTGGGCTTGTGTGTTTTATTTACCGTTATCAGCGCGGGCGTAATGACGCCATAAGAAGGCCGAAATACAACAGCAACAACAACAAGAACAGCAATAGGGGCACAATTTTAGGCAACACTTGAGCTGTGTGTGTGCGCCCGCATAATTAATAGGCATTTAATTTGCATTTAAGCGCTGCTTATGAAAATCAATGGCAGCAACCCGCAGGAAACGCCCGTGCCGTTGTCCTTGCCAGCGACTTTAGTTTCTGAGCTGTCAAAGTCATAAACACGCGCCTAAATATATGTTTATGACGACGCTTAAAACAATTTGCATTTACATTAAAAATTTCGATTTTCCCTTCTCCTTTTTTTTTTGTCAGCATATTTCTCTAATTTCGGAGTCAATAGAAAGTAATCCTTAGGGAATTTTATCTTAGGAGTGAGCTTTTTCAATTGATATAGTTGAAATATATCTTAATTTATCTGTATTTTAAGATCAATCGAATATTTATTAGTTTAGTCCAAAGGAAAAGCAGTTCTTTAAGTTTTTAATCGCTCTTTATAGGGAAAATCTACAAAAATCCAAATTTAAGTCCAGCTCTGGTCAATTTTCCCTACATTTATTTTAATATAATTTCTTCTATAATTGAAACCTTGATGCGTTCATAAAAAAGCGCGTGTGGCATATGATAAAACTGTGCCACAAAATGTCCTTCAATTAATGTTATTAACCTATTTCTGTCAATTTTCTGAATATTGGCAACATGCGAAGAAGTGCAAATCGTTTATCAGCAAAGTAGTACGTGGCTTTTGCCGAAAGGAATGTGCTGCATTGTACGAGAAATTTCAAGAAAATGCGACACAACACAAGCCAATGCTGGCTATGTTCGGAAAATGGATTATCGATTAACTTTGGTGCTTAGATCTTACAGTCAGCTATTTGGGAAACTAGGTTAAATATTCTGGATAGGGGTCTGTCATTGAATTGAATGTTTGTATCATTAACTTCGAGATGTGCTCTGAAAGTTTAAACTTTGATTCTTATCGATCTCATGGGTGACGACTGAGTTATCGATGATTTGATCGAAATTCAATGTCTCTAGCTCTTATCGGTGGGCTTGTACAAACGGACAGAGCTGCGCACATGGCTCAATCGACTCGGCCGAGCATATATGTATGTATGTATGTATGTATGCATATGTATGCCTGGCGGCGGCATTTTGTGCCTCTTACATGCATTTGCATAAACTCGTAATGCCCTTTTTACACATATAAAAATGAAATGTTATCACGAATTCTTTTCAAGGGACCCCAGGCGAAAGGCACATACATTTTTCGTGGATACCATGTGGATCGTAAGTGGCAATATGCCTATGCAAGAAATGCAGCGAGAGCCCAGGCGGCCCAGGCGGCCGCCGTTCATCGCCCGCAGCGCATTGCAGTTAACCCCGAAAAAAAAGAACAAAAAAAAAAACAATGAAGCAAATGGCATCAGCAGTTACAGCAGTCACACAAGCAACACACACACACACACACACACACAGACACACTCACAGCTACACAAGTTCGCACACACACACACATACACGGGCACACACACTTTGCATGTTGGGTGCTCCATTTAGAGGCTGTTTGGCTGAGTGCCTGCCAAAAAATCAGTCAACTGCATGCAGCAGTTGAGCAAATCGCGTGCCGTACATTTGGCCCCCCCTCCCACGCCGCGCCCCTGCACCGCCCACTGACAGATCTTTGCTCTGGTGCAGCTGCACTGGCACATGTTGCTTGCGGGTTGGGGAAGGCTGGGGTGCACACTAATGTCTGCCCCACAAATTGACTGTGGCTGAGAGTTGAGCGCTTGGCTTTGTGGCATTTGGATGATTTCTGCCTATTCGCAGTCCCACGACCCCCCTACCCAGACCATTTTGTGAACTTTAATCGCGTGTTTGCTGCACATTTTAACGCTCGTTGTCGGCTTCGTCGTCGTCATCGTCGTTGTTGTTCTTGTTGTTGTTGTTGTTGTCGTCGTCGCCGCTGTCGCTGGTTTCCAAAGCAACGCAACACGAAATGAAATGCAAAGCAAACACAAAAAAAAACAGAAAAAAAAATGGCTGTGGTAATTGGTTGAGGCTGTGGGAGGGGCGAGTGCAGATTGCACGGCGGGCGGCTGTCGCCGTGTCGAGGTTAGGGTGAACGTGCGTTTGCAAATTGCGTTGATTTTGACTGCGCTGCTGCCGCAGCTGCTGCTGCTGCTGCAATGGATGTGGCCAATGAGTGGGCGCTAGCATTGCATGTTAAGCATGTGTATGTGTGTTCGTGTGCGTGTGCGTGTGCGTGTGTATGTGCACAGTAAGCGCACGCAAAATGACACCATTTTGACATTGAGCTTATTTCAATAAGACAACATCCTCATTTTATGCATTATTATTATTATTTTTATTTTTATATCTTTCTTGGAACTGCCGCAAATATTGATATGACCCAATAGGTTGAATTCAAAATATGCATAAATGTTCTTATTTTTATGTCTTATATAACAAACATGTCTTATATAACTTAACAAATACTGACTAAAGTCCTACATTCCTCTTTTTTCTTCTATTTGAATTTTATTTGTTTTGCCAAGAATTGAAATCCGACATCCTAAATTGTATATTACAAAGAGATAACAGATAATTTAAAATTAAGCTTGAAGTCGATCCTGGCAAAAGCCGTAATCAATGTTTTAAGCCCTTTTAAAATGAGCTTGAAGTCGAAGAAAAATATTTCTAATTTATCTGCAAATTAATTATCATAAACAGATCTTTGAAAGTGAGCTTCATTAAAAAAGTATGCATGCAATTGTTATCCGCATTTTTTCCATATTTGCTTGCTAAAAGCTAGCTTAACACATAAAGTAAATATTTCCGCTTGATTAGCAATCAGTCAGACAGTCAGTCAGTCAGTCAGTCAGTCAGTCAGTCAGTGAATTGGTCAGTCTTTCAGTCAGTCAGTCAGTCAGTTAATCAGTCAGTCAAATGGTCAGTCTTTCCGTCATTCAGTTAGCCAGCCAGTCAGCCAGTCAGCCAGTCAGTCAGTCAGTCAGTCAGTCAGTCAGTCACTTAATCAGTCAGTCAGTTGGTGAGTATTTCAGTTAATCAGTCTGTTAGTCTTTCAGTC